ATGGACTGGTTCAATAATAATAAAGAATAACGGGAAAAAAAAGTGAATGACATGAAACTCGATCTGAATAAAATAAACATTCAATCCAGCCACCGAATAGGATTCACGTTTTTTTTTATTTTGTTTTTGTTTTTCCCGCTACTGCTGCTGCTGCTGCTGCTGTTTGCGTCGATATTTTTCACAAACTTGAAAGAAAGAATAAAATCAAAATTGAATGTAAGCAACATTGGCAAATAAATAGATAGTTATCGATCTCATATAGGCCATATATACGAATAATGGCCAATGGTCAACGTTATCGACTGCAAATACCAGCACACACATGGACATGCATTCTAAAATCATTACACTATGAATTGTTATTGGATCAAATCGATAATAAAAAAAAAGCCACAAGAAAACCAAAAATTTTCGGTTTTCGATTTCTTTGATCTTCGATATCGAACTGTGTATATGATATGAATAGAATATGAACTTTATTGACGACCACCACCAGCCGTGCTTGTGTGTGTGTGTGTAAGTGGACAATTATAACAACAACAAACTGAAAAAAATATCCTAAATGACAATTTACTACCGAATAGAAAAAAAAATTATCGTCTAATTAGCATTTAATTGTCAGAACAAAAAAAAATCATCATACACGAAATAATAACCATAATATAACCACCACAACCATACACATGGAGAAATCGGCAAAAAAAAAACTCATTCATGAAAACAAAAACAAAAAAAGAATTATCGACGACAACCATAATGATGATGACCGACCGTCGTCGACAACCGAATCATCAACAAGCAGGCAATAACTTATTAATTATTATTACGCCTATTAGCACACACACACACACACACACACAACCTAACAAATTTAGTTTAGATTAGTTAATTAAAAATGACCATTTTTGTCATTTTTTTTCAATTCTGTTTTTTTTTCGTTTTTTTGGTTTTAATTTTTACTATTGAAACGTGATTCTGCAATGACAACATCAACAACAACAACAACAAAAATTCATTCAAATTGCATTTGTCGACAACAGCAGAATTATTATTACACGTAAATGGCTAGAAATGATAAAAATCATTCATTTGAAACGAAATCACGTCCATTGTGTGTGTGGTATGTGTGTGTCTGGGGCACAGTATTCTGACAATTACAACAATGGTCATCATCATAATTTAGTGTTCACCATATATGATGGTGGAATTGAAATCAAATTCATTTCTTGATAATGATGATGATGATAGTTGATTATGTGACATTTGTCCACTTCAAAACAATCGCCATCATCATCATCGTCATTATACAGGTGCAAGTAAATATCAACCAGAAAAAAACTCTATCCCTTTTGAGCCGCCTTTCGATGATTCTATTCATACACACACACATACACAATATATTCATCAGACATGAAAAAAAACCCGAAGAAGAAAAATAGATAGAAAAGCTCTCCTTTGAGATTATGGCCCCATAGGAGACAAACATACACACACACACACATATACAATGAGACCATAGAGTCCCTTGGCCATCTTGTGTATATATACCTAATAATCAGGCATTACCGCAGTTATTTTCAAATGATTTCTTTTCCTTTTTCTTTCTCACATCAAATTGTTGACTGTTGTTGTGTGTGTGTGTGTGTGTGTGATTGTGTGACCACAAGATGATGATGATGATAATACCCATGGCCACATTGGAATTGCTTTGTTTGGTTGAAAAGCCACAAGAGACCAAAAAAAAATCAAGTATTATAAAATAGACAACAAAAACAAAAACCGGCCGGTATCTTTTTTTCTGAATGAATGAATAAATGAAAAGAAAAAAAAATATATTGACCATCGGTGACTGTTGTTGTTCTATTCTCAGGTATTTTAATGATGATGATGATCATCATCGTTATATAATAAATTCTACAAAATGTCCGAGGAAATAATTAGCCAAAAACCAGTCAAATATGGTGATTCATTTTGGAAAAAATGAATGAATGAATGAATGAAAGACAGAGAAAAAAACACTTTCCAATCATTAGAATGTGTGTGTGTGTGTTTTTTTTAAATGAATTGTGAATTTAATGTCTAAACACAAACTGTAGAATCTAAATCATTATGATTGTTGTCACAATGCGAAACAACAACAACAACAAACATTGTACATCAATATTGACATAACACACAGACACACACTAGTTGAAAAAAAACAAGTAGAATTGTTTCATTCATTCAATTCAATTCAACCAAACATTACGTTTTTTTTATTTTTTTGACAAATTGTATCAATTCATCCATTCAATGATCAGTACAATCAGTTATGGTAAAAAATAAAAAATTTCCTTTTGTGTGTAAGGCGTAAAACTCTCAATAATGACGATGATGATGATGATGATGAACAACAAACAAAAGAAAACAAATTCTCTTTTTTTTTAAATTACTAGATCATCATCATCGGTGTGTATGTCAATTTAATCATTCATTTTAGTGCTTACACTCCACTTTTGCTTGATGATGATCGATGGCAAATTTACCATTAAATCAGTGATATATACTTAAGATGTGTGATCAAACAATATCCAACAACAACAACAACAAAAAAAGAATCGAATGAACTAAAATAAATAGTGGTGGTGTGTGTGTGTGTGGAGTGGATCCAGTATTTCGTTTCGTTTCTTTTCTTTTTCATCATTCAACCTGTCTATTATTTACTTTGCTTTACATCACAATCTATTCATCATTTTCTTTCTGTTGATTTTAAACACACAAAACATGTGTACACACACACACACACATTCAACATCTTTTGAAAAACATTCAACAACAAAACAGAATATCATAAAGGTTGAATGGAAAAACGAGAATTCGCATCCATTCTCCATTGTATGTGTTTACAATCTGATCAATAGTACATTATCATCGTAGACATTATTTTTATTGATTTTTTTTTTTTTTTCAACACTTTGGAATCGCTAGTTATTCAATCAATGACAACAAAGAATCTATTGACATAGAATATTAAAGAGTGTATATGGTGTGTTGTTGTTGTTGTTGTTGTTGCCAGAGAGAAAAAAAAACACCATGAAAATGATGCGCATCACAACTATTATTCTCATACGACCGATAGCTAAACAACAACAACAACAACAATATGAATGATTGCCGGATAACGATCAACGACAATGGAATGAAAATGAAAATAAAATAAAATAAAAATTCTTATCACCAAACATAAATCGAACTTGGTGCAACGTTTTTAATCATCACCATCAACCAGGAAAAAAAAAATATTCATTACGGTGAATGATTGGGAAAAAAAACCTCTCCCACACACCAAACATCGAATGCAAAAATTCATTCGCAATTCCATTCATTGGTATTAGAGATTAAAAAAAACAACAACAACAACAACAACGACGACAACGACGAAACAAACCATTGCAAAAATTGAATTGTGAATTTTCAATTGTGGTTCACAATCAATAAAAACGATCAAAGTGTTGTTGTTGTTGTTGTTGTCGTCGTCGTCGTTGAAATATAAAACGTTAAAATGATGATGGACGTCTGAATATGGAAATGGAAAGTGAAAAAAAAATGCACAATGCTGTGCACTCAACAAATGAAAGTTGATAAAAATTAAAGATAATTCTTGTTGGCTGATTCAACAGCAAAAGATTCAAAACAATCAGATAAAAGAAAATTTTGATGATGACGAGTACTATAGCACTAGGTCAACGATCAATGATGATGATGATGATGATGATGGAGGCAGCAAAAAAAAAAAAAAAAGACGAAATAGAATGGACACGTGACAGATCACACGCCCAAAAGAAAAAAAAATTCTATTTTCTTCATTCGATTTACTTTTACTTTTATTTTTATTACGTTAAATTACGTATGGGCCAATATAATAAACACGTGTGCATGCACAACAGCCGACATGGCTGAATGGCTGATTGACTGACTGAGTGACTGACTGACTGACCTTGCAATGTTAAAGCATCTTGTTGTTTCATATCTCACTTAAACAGATTTAGATTTAAGTCACACACACACACACACACACTCACAAACATACAACCAATGGATTCTTTTCTTCGAGATTTTCGATATTCGTTATACCAAGTTGTTTCAATTTTTCACAAAACGTGTGTCGTCGTCATCATCGTGAAACATTATTATATTTTAAGCTATCTGGCAGTGAAAAAAATAACGGTTCCACTAACTTATTTGATTGTTAGACAGGGAAAAAAAATGGAAATAGAAATTTAAGAATCTTTCAAATCAACATAATGATTCTATTCTGCTTAAAATCAACTTTCAAATGAGAAAAAAAAAATTTGACAGTACTGGCCAAAAACAAAATCATTTCATCACCATCATTTCATCATGGAGAAAAAAAACAAAAATATGGAAATCAAACATCATTTGAAATGGATGGATGAATGAAAAAAATTCTTGAATCAACATCAGAATCATTGTTTTCACAAATATATTGTTTCAACAAAAAAAAAATTGCATTTTATCAAACTACCCGATCAACACTAATAATAACGTATATATACTGCCAAGTATTTGCAATGATGATAAATTATTCTGTGTGTGTTTTTAACGAAAATAAATATATTCCAAATATCATCATCATCATCAGAACTGTTTAAACTGTTTGTCATTTTCAACAAAAAAAATTCGCATTTGCATATTACGCATCATAAATGTATGTGTATGTGTGTCTGTTTGAAACTTTCAAGCTTTTCTCTTTCAACCATTTTTTTTCATTCTTTCATTTCATTTCATTTTTCTATTCTGTTATTTAAATACATCAAGTGAATTGATGTGCTAATTAAAAAAAAAAATGAAATGAAATGAAATCATAGAATATGGAAAAATATTCCAAATAAATGATGACAGTGAAAAATAAAACTAAACTGGTTCAATCCATGGTTTCAAATGATGGATTTCCATGGAAAATAATAGAGAAAAAGAGAGAAAATTTTTTTTCCACTTACCGATCAATAATGACTGGATCCGATGGTGTTTCATTACGATTTCCACAGCTTTTTTTATCGCAACAACGACTATACAACAACAACAACAACAACAAAAACATGAATCGATTATTAGTTGTATAAAATGTGAATTTGATGATAAACAACGACGCATTCATTACCTGCACATTACTTCGTGTGTCAAAAGTACCCGGCACATTTCAGGATTCTTATCTTGACCTTCATAAATTATGGCCTGTAAAAACAAACAAACAAAAAAATAAATTCAAAAACGTCAAAAAAAAACAAAACAAATTATCAACAGCAACAACAAAAAAAAAAAAATCAAATGGTGTAAATTGTACAATTATAAATCCGGAAAAAAAATTACAACGAACAAGATTCTACGATTCTATCATTCTATGTGATTTTCAAGTGTTCCAAATGGCAATCAAAATGGGTACCAATAACAACAACAACAACAATGGAGGCTAAAAGCAGAGCTGAACATTATAATAAAATCGTAAAAAGTCAATTGGAACTATTGGCCATCATCATCATCATCATCATTGGGGTTATAATTTTTTTTTATTCTTTCTCCATCTCCACCATATCATTACAGTCGTTTATTTTTTTTTTTTCGAGGGCCATAGTATCCTATTACTGCTCCCAATGGTCGCATTCAGAATTTTTTTTTTTTTTCGTTTTACTTTTTATCATTCACTTTTATAATAATAATTTCTATATACTACCATATAGTAGACGAAGAAAAACGCTGAACAATTTTCGCTACCATGTTTTATGATTATTATAGCCAAAAAACAACAGCAACAGTAACAACAACAAAACAGTGACAAAAAAAAATGTAGAATACAAATGTGTCACCAGAATGAAAAAAAAAATGATTTCAAATCATCAATTTTAAACGATGTTCAATGAATCATCATCATCAATAATAAACGCCTAAATATGAATGGACGAAAAACCAGAAAAGATAAAAATTTTTTTTTCAGATCTCGATTTTTTTGGAAATTATATATTGGCTTATCAACTTGGATTTTAACTGGGCCACATGATTTTTTGATATTTATACATGCGCTACAGTTCAATCATTGCTTCGGGCAAATTCCAGATCAATTATATTGGTTTATTCGATTCTTTTTTGTGTGTGTGTGTGTGTGTGTGTGTGTATGAATACATTTATGGCGACAATAATAACAATAATAATGATGATGATGAGAAGAATAATCGTGCGGGGTAGAAAAAAAAACATAAATGGCCCAAAAAAAAAAAAATTCACTTGTTTTGTTCATCATACAATGAATGAATGAGAGAGAGAGAAAAAGGACCTGTCATGTCATTGAATAAAAATTGTAGCCATTGTTGTTGTTGTTGTTGTTGTTTTCAAGCTCACCATCAACATCAATATGAATGTATGGATGATGCATTCATTCAATTTTACTGATGATGATTTTTTCGTTAGTGGTACACAACTATTGCTGCCTTTTTTCCCTACAAACATCTGTTCGGTTAGATAAGCATAAAACGTATGTATATATGTATATATTGGAAAACCAAATGCCCAATCGAGAGAGAGAGAGAGAGAAAAAGGAAAAATGTTAAGCCAATTTGTAGAATATAAAAATTGGTAAACTATAGAAAGCAAAAGGCACACACACACACACACACAATATAACAACAAACTTGAACAGAAGGGCCAGAAGAATACCAGTTTACCATTTTACAAAAAAAAAAAAAAAGAAAAATTGGATAAATGTCATTTGATGAAACAACATACAGTAGTTGATTAGATTTTTGACAAAAAAAACTAAACTAAACTAAACTAAACTACTACCGGAGAAAAGCAACAACAAAATGATCAAGCATTCAAGCTTGTAAAATGAGAGGGCGAAAATAAAATGAAAATGAAAATGAAAAAAAATGTAAAAAAGTTCAATGTAATGTGTGTGTGTGTGTGTGTGTGTGTGTTTGTTCGACAAAATGATTTGTCATGAATGTATTAACAATCTGACAATCAATGTAATTTGTATTCCGGCTGTTAAATGATGCCAGAAGGTTTTTTTTTTTTTTGGTTGGTTGTCGCTGCACTTGATTCAATTTTTTTTTATTGTATTTTCGATATAAAAAAAACCTACCTGTTTTGTAACCGAATCAATAAGTCGAATATAAAGATCTTGTTCTTGTCGTACACCATTTATATATAATAATTGTAAACGATAATGTATACCATTATTAGTTTTTGGACCTTCTGGTTCCTACACAGTACAGACAAATCAATCAATCGATCGATTAATTGATTAATTAATTAATTAATTAGATGGATGAAATATGACATACTTGATCTTTTTCAATAAAACCAACAAACGCAGTACGTTCAATTTCGACGGCATGTCCATTTTTATCGAATAATGCAATGACAAAATGAAAAAAATTACTTTTACGCAGATTGGATGGTGGCTGTTTTTCGAAATGTGCACGACTTAGGCCAACACTATTTGGTGAATGATTTTGAATGTTATTTTTTTTTGTTGTGTAAAAGATTGGTAAGAAAAAAAAATCAATTATCATCAACATCTACATATGATGGAAAACAATGGACAATTACATACTTGGATGGCTGATCGGCTATTATTGTATTCGACATCCAAGCCGTATGATGATGATGATGATGATTATGATGATTGGTAACACGTAAACCTGGATGCGAATGATGATGATGATGATGATGATGTGGATGTAATTGTGAATGGATATTTGTTTCACTAAAATTTGGTTCTTCTTTTATGATTAGATTACTTGCTGATGTTGGTAAACAAGAATGTCTTGCTGCCTGTACAACAGTCAAATCATTTAATTGATTTGGATGATGTAGGCCAAACATGGTGGCCATCGTAATCGTTGATCGGTGTTGTAGATGGTGTTTTTTTTCGTCGTTTTATTCAAATCAAATCAAATCAATCAATCAATCAATCGATGATGATGATGAATTGAGCAATAAACACACGATGGTTTGTTCACTCAATTTACAAGTAAACCAAAAACACATTCACGTGCACACACACACAAAAAGCATGATGTTTTAAAATTGATTTAAATCAATATAAAATAATGTGACACTTAAATACATATATATACAAAATAAACTAAACAAATATCGACACACATACACACTCACTGTCTTCTTATTTATTTAGTTTAGTCTGGTTTATATTTTGATTAAGGACCGTCGCTGTTGTTGTTGTTATTACCACTTGTGGTCACTTAGGATTTCTGATGATTATTAGTTGGTTGGTCGGTTGAATGGATTGTTGTATCAAGGATCAATGTCGCCACTGTATACTAAATTTTTTTTGATCCCAGATGTCATATCGTTTCGTTGTTTATATTCTACATTACCGGAAAAACATTCAAACAAACAAATAAACACACAGACACACTGAAGAAGAAGAATCTCTCAAGAGATGTGGATGTGATCATTCAAACATGACAAGAAGACGAGTATTTGTGTGTGTGTGTGTGTGCATATTCTGTGTATTCTGGAGCCAAACAAAACAAACAAACAATCAGAACGAGAAATGAAATTTGAAATGATATAACTTTTTTTTTTTTTTTGAGTCGATTAGAATTATTTCACTACAATATTTTTTTTGTTGAAAATTTTTTTTTCTTCTTTCAACAACAACAACAACAACAACACAGAACGATCAACGTGCCTCAAGTGATTAAATATGATCTCTGTGTGTGTGTGTGTGTGTGTGTGTGTAGTGTGTATTTGGGACTAGCATGCGTGCATAATGTGTACAGCACAGTTGCTCCTGAATAGGAAAAAAAAAAAAAAAATATGAGCAATCGCTATAGCTAAAGTGGATATGGATGAAAAAAAATTTTTTTCCTACAGACGACGACTATACAACGACGTTGTTTGCGTTTGTGTGTGTGTGTGTGTGTTTGATTTGATTTGGTTTAGTTTAGTTTAGTTTATCAAAATATATATATTCCCTCCCTCTTATATATCTAAATCAATAATGGACCAACTCCGCCTTATATGACCGGCGCTTGTTTTTTTTCGGTTGTAGTTGTATAATACAAATAAAACATGTACCATCCCATCCCATTTCATACACACACACACACACACTTGAATTTTCACTAAAAGAAAACGAAAAAAAAATCATTTTATTATGGATTCATTGAATTTTCTACGAAACAAAAAAAAACCATCATCTATTGTTCTATGTGTGTGTGTGTGTGTGTGTGTGAATATTCTGTGTATTCTGGAGCCAATAGTATGGCGCCAAATCAAGCAACAGTCATAATGATAATAATAATAAAAGAAAACGTCATAGACAAAAAAAACGATGATAGATCACCAATATCTTGAATATATATTTTATATAACGCCTCGAGAATGATTTTCATTTCTCATATATATAACAATCTCTATGGACCAAACAATTTACTCTTTTTTTTTTGTTTGGTTGTCACATAATACACTTGATGATTGGACGATCATCATTAAATTAAATGATTATCTGATTTCATTGATCGATGTAAATAAGAAAGAAAGAAAGAAAGAAAAGAAAACAAAAATGTCAACAAACAAAATCAACATGTTGTTGTACATTTGTCACCACCAACATCATCATCATCATCATTGTTGTTGTTTGTTGTTTGTCCATTTTATACTGGACCATGATGATTCTTTCCTGATGTTTGTCGACGTGTGTGTATATATGGTATGCCCATGTGAATTCAAGTATATACACACAACTGATTTCTTTCTCTATGTTCTCGATGTTCATTCTATACCACCACTCCCAAGTGGATCAGGTTCATGTTTGAACACAGTTTTTTTTGGTCTGGTTGAATAGTGTATGAAAAAAAAGGAACAAAAGAAAACATTTGAAAAAAACAAGTAGAAGACACAAGTTGTCCAAAAAAAAAAAAAACAAAAATGATCTGTCCTATAGGATTTGTGATCAATTTTGATTCCTATCAAAATTGTTGGTTATATTATAACAATAATAATCATTTTATTGGATGTTTTGTTTTTTCTTTTCATTTATTTTCTTCATCGGTCATCATTTTCTATCGATACAATGTATGTATGTATGTATTCTGATACGAATAATAATGATTAAATGACACTTGTTGTCATTTCAAAAAACCACAACTAATTAATTTTATCATTTCGGTTTCTTTGGCCTTGTTTTTTTTGGTCTAGAAAATCAAAATTGCAACAACAACAACAACGACAACGATAATAAATACAACAGGGTTAAATAAGGTCTTTAACCTTGTGGTCAAATTTTTCGAAAATTCTTTTTTATTTTATTGATTGACACACACACACACACACACAAAGAGAAACATTTAGCCTTTGGCCACTATTATATATCGTTTATAACGACGATAATAATTGTAAACGAATTGCTTTTTGCTACCCAGATAATCCTTTCGTCTTTATAATTTCGTGTTAAATATATGCTTACATTTGACAACATAAACACCGTGTCCTTGATATTTTATCTTTCACGTTTCATGTTTGTCTTTGCAAAGCATACCGAATATCGATGTAAGAAGCAGAAAAAGACACTGTTTTTTTCGTTCGATTTGCACAACCAACAACAACAACAGCAGCAGCAGCAGCAAAAATTCTTGAATAATTTATATGAATTTTTTCCGTTGTTGTTGTTGTTGTTGCGAGAAAGAAAAATAAAATTCAGATAATTGTCACTTGTAAAATAAATATGTCACATACACACACACACACAGATAAATGACAACTATCATCATAGGTATTTCAATGAAAATTATTTTGTTGTTGTTGTTGTTGTTGTCGTTGTTTTGGCAAGAAGAGTTTTTTTCTGTTCATGTGTTAACCGAAAAATTTCATGAATAATTAATTGACCAAGAGAATGAAAATAATTTCCAACCAAAAAAATATATATGGATCTGGATAGGTTTGCTGATGTTGTTGAACAACAGCAGCAACCATAATAAATTTTTTTTTTTTTGGTTTGAAAATTTCATATAAATCATGATGATGATTTGGACACACAGTTTTGTTGGAAATATTAAGAAAATTATTTCAAAAAAAAAAAAAATTTTTCAACTTGATTTTAATTACAAACAAACAAACAAACATAATAATCTACTGGGAAATGGAATCATTCTGTTTTTGTTTCTTTCCAAAAAATTCTGATGAAGAATTTTGCATTTTTTTTCTGGTGTACAGAGAGACCAAATAACCAGAAAGAGAGAGAGAGAGAGAAAAAAGACAATCTTGATTGGTTTTTTTCCATTCATTCATTCATTCACCATTAATTGGATCTCGATTAAAATGATATAGAGTGGAATCAGATTCTTTCTTTTTTTTTCTCTCATATTCATTTTTATTCATATTTTATTCCAGAATCAACAGAATGAGAGAGAGGGAAACTTTAATTAAAAATGTTCATCATCATCATCAACATCATGATGATGATGATGAGCATATGAAAATTGAGTTTTTTTTGTTTTGGTATTATTCAACAATCAATGTTGATGCATATATAGTCCATATGGAATATATGAATGAATATATGGATTAATTAAACAATTTAAATTAGTGATTCCAGAAGAAAAAGAAGATAAAAAACACACACACATTCCCAATTGAATGAGAAATGGATAGGCAACAACAACAACAACAACAAAATTCATTCCATCTCTCCTGAGAAGTAATAGAACAAGATGTGTGTGTGTGTGTGTGTGTGTGCAAAAAGTTTTTCAGAAAATCATATTTTGTGGATGCAAACTTTTTCCTTCTTTCGTTGTTTTTTTTTCATGCTTATTATTTGGCAATGATTATAGATAGTGGAGATAAATTATAATTATATGAATCACCATATATCACTATCCATTAATTATGGTAAAATAAAAAAAAATCCAGTAATGAAATGGAAACAAAACGAAACGAAACGAAATTAAAACAATCAATCCAAAATGAATGAACTTCATTAAGATTTATATATCAATGAGAAATTTTGGCAAACAACAAACGAAACAAAACAAAAAAATTGGTCGACTTTAATGTCGAATGAATCGAATGATACGAAATTAATTCGTTGCTTTTTTTTAATTAATTAAACACCATAGAGTGACCATGGTCTGTGGTTATTTGAACATCATTAATGGAAGAAATTTCATGTTTTGGGTCGTTATTTTTTTCTTCTGGTAATTTAAATTTTTTTTACACACACACACACACACACACACATCGTCACATTGTTTTTCAAATTGAATGGACCAAAGAAAAAAAAAAGAAATTCTCGAATCTCAAACACAAAAAGAAAACACTAATAAGCTATAGGCAGAAATAATAAAAACGAATCTAATTTGATGTTTGCCAATTTGGGTTTCCCAACACTCAACACACACACACACACACACTGTTGTTCATTTCAAGATAATATTTTGTAAGCCGGACACATATAGATATATAAAAAAAGGGCAAATCAAAAACAACCCCCAATGCCACCAAAACAAAACAAAAATCCAAACCAAACCCAAACAACTGCGAATCAAATGGAAATAGAAATAAAGAGACCATTCATGTCAGAATGAATGAATGAAAATGCCCAAATCGAACACAACAGAATAGTTTGGACCATCAACAACAGCCAAAGAAAAAAAAAAATGCCAATATATACTGATTTCAATCACCGCCACCAACACCATAGCCACAAGAATGACATTGCTGTTGTTGTTGTTGTCGTAGTCGTCATTTGTTCATCGTGTCCATCATCATCATCATCATCATGATGTTTATAATATAATATGATGATGTGAAATGGCAAAAAAAAGGCTAATTTAAGTTGTAATGATGTAGCCAAATACGCTACTACTATTTTTTTTTTTTTGGCTCGTTTCTTTTCGTTAGTTCCCGAGAGAACCACCAAATACACACACACACACATACTAAAGACAAACTAAGAGTCCAAAGTTAGGACTATACTAACCATTCTTCTAATGAACTTCCCGAAGGAATTCTTTTCTTTTCTTTTCTTTTATTTTCATATATGAACGAGAAAAACACACACACACACATACAAATGACAGATACGACCAAAGCAACAATTGTGATGTTTAATATATATAACGAAATGAATAGAAATTGCTTCAAAGACTGAAAACACAATAGTTCCAACAGAATCATCGACAACAACAACAACAACAGCAACAACAACAACGACGACGACGATGACGAAAACCACAATTTTTGATACATTCATACATATATATATATGTGTGTGTGTGTGTGTGTGTGTGTGTGTTGGGAATCAAATCAATTCAAGTATCAAATCAATTGGACCATTCATTGGATTCATCAATGGTTTAGTTGTTTTTTTGCGGTATGACGCAAACGTTGAAATTAAATTCCTATCTAATAGTTATAAACAGATTGATTTGATTTGATTTGATTTACATATTTTTCTTTATATTCAACAAAACAGTAGAAACAGTTTTCACTGGAAAAAAAATTCAAATTCAAATCCCATAATTCTTCATAATTTGAATTTTATTCTGGGTTCTATTTTTTTTCGCTGTTGAAAAAATTTAATTTTCCAACAATTCACCGTTTTTATTTTGGTGAATTTTAAATCATAACGATAATATGAATTTGAAAATGGATAGTCGTCGTCGTCGTTGTCGTCAAATCTGTCAATTTTCATCATTCATTTATTTTTAGCCACATGGTTGGTGGTTTTAACTATTTCTTTTTTTGAATCTAGAACATTGTTTGACATTCGGCCAATACATGATGATGATGATATGACCGTAGGCGCCTAGTATATGGACCGTAGTAGAATTTTACTTGTTTTATTATCATTTCATTCGTCAATGGATGGAGAACGACAATAAACAAACAAACAAACAAACACACACACACAGACGATGGTCAACAATAAATAGAACCGAACAAACAATGAAAAAAAAATGTTTGTTGTTATTGGGAGCCAAACACACAGAATTAGAATCAGGTAGACATTATCATCATCTATTATTGGTCAATCTGGTTATTTCAATCATCATAATGTTTGTTTTATTGTTTGTTTGTGTGTGTGTGTGTATGTGTGTGTTCAATATGTGAATATCTCTTGAATTTGGTTCAAATTCAAAACTTTGTTATACCCAATGTTTGTCATCATCATCATCAACATCGTGGTTATGTAATCGGCTAAATAAACATTCATGAAAATGAATGAATGAATGAATGAAAATACATCATTCAGTCCATTTCCATTCTATTATTATCATATATTGGCCAAAGCGTCCATATTGACCACAGCAACAGCAGCAGCAGCAGCAACAACAACAAAAACAAAAACAAAAACAAAAATGACGACGACGACCGCAACAACTTTTTTTTTTATTTTATCCAACTTTTATCATCGAGAATATTAAATTAGGTTGACAGTTTGACAATTCAATGATGATGATTGGAAACAAAGTTTAAATTTAGAATTTTCAAATTTTTTTTTGTTGTTGTTGTTGCCTGAATGAGAAAACAATGTGAAAATATTTTCTACAATTTAAAACAAACAAACCGACTGGATAGATTGGCCAGAAAAAATGGATGAATGAATGAATGAAACTCAACAGCGAGTGGAGAGAAAAAAAAAAAAAAGAAAAAGAAAAAAAATTCAAAAAGATTACAATAATTGAATCGAATGGTGAATAAATGAAATGTGTGTGTGTGTGTGTGTGTGTGTGTGCGTGAAAGATTGAATGAAATTGATTGAGGTTTCGATCAATTCGATTCGATCATTTCATCGCCAACTGGAAACAAAACAAAAAACAACAACAACACCATTGCCAAATCGATTGCCATCAGCTTCCAATATTTTCATCATCATATAAAATATGAGAAAAAAAAACTGAATAATTCAAAATAAAAATAAAAAAAAAAGTTTCACCGCTCGTAGTGAATTATTAAGTAAGTGACTAAGTTTTTTTTTCTCTGGCTGGATCATCATCATCATCATCAGTCGAACCAATCGTTTCAAACTCGACGATTTTTTTTTCATGATTTAAAATTCTAATTCCATCATCATCAGTTTATTTCACACACACACACACACAAACATCGTTTATGAATGATGATGATGAATACATCACAACCGCTATATCTGATCATAATGATGATGATGATGGAGATGATTGGCTTTTTTTTTGCTGTTCACAATTTTATTTTCACTCAATTTGATTCCATCATCATCATCATCATCAGCATCACTTATTTCATCTATACAAACAATATCTGTCTTTATAAATGGATACAAATTATGTTTTCACCAGCAAAAAAAAAAGAAACCATTTTGATCTATTGATCATCATCATCATCATCATATTTGATACCTGGAATGGAAAGAATGGACATTATTGGATATCATCATCCATCACTTTGTTTCTTTTTTTTTGCAATAATAATAATTATCGCTATATGTCGTAATATTTTGTAATCATTGGTTTTTCTCACATTATTACTGCTGCTTCTGCTGCTGTTGCAATGCGATATATATGATGATTTGTTTATTTCCATTTATATAATTTAACGAGAGAGAGAAAAAAAAAGAAGGCAAAGGCAACGAATGAACAGAAATGAAACGAATAATAATAAATATATTGCTTCCAAAAAAAAAAAAAAAAAAAAAAAAAATAGTGAGAAAAACATCATTTATGTATCCATCCATATGTAGAATGATGATTTTGTTTCAATGGAATATTTCTTCTTTGGATACTTTTTCGTCGTTATATATTTTTTTTCTCTCTCTCTCTCTCTCTTTCGTTTGCTTCATCATCCATTCATTTCTCATTCATAGATATATACCGAGAGAAAAACCGAAATGAGTTTTGATCATCACAATTTTCATAGCCATCATCATCATCATCATCATCTTCTTTGTAGTCGGCAATAGCAATTGGACGATGATGATGATGATGATGGTGATGCTTTACGATGATGCGACATAATCCTTAGGGACGTCAATAGGCAAAAATGATTCTATTTTTTTTTTTGGTTCCATTCGAATTTCATTCTTTATGAAATTCAGTTTTGGATGGTCGTGTAGTTAGATACAGTGGTTTGAATGGGACCGAGAATATAATATCAAACAGCAAATGGGCAACCAACCAACCATCAAGTCAGAAAAAAAGGTACCATTAATATGGACCAATATTACAATGATGATGATGATGAATAAATGGAAAATATGACGAAACACATACACACACACTGATAAATAAACAAACAAACAAATAAATAAATTGGGAAAAAAAGAGAGAAACACATTTGCATTGTATATTGGTTTCAGAAAATATTAAAAATGTATATATTCATCATCATCATCATCATCATCGATATATTTAAGAAAGAATGGTGAAAAAAAAAATTTAAATTCTACTTGCCTGAATCGATTGATCGGTGATTGTATCGCCTCTAGGTTTGAAATTTTTTTTGTTTCACTCATTTAATTCATTGTTTACCAGTTTGATGGTGGTTATAATCCGGTGATCGTTATGAAAATCTCTTGAAAATACTTGTTTCGAACGTATGAGCGTATATAACCATTACGTCATTTGTGAATGTTGTAAATCATATGGCAATAAAAACAAACGGGAAAAATTGATTTCCAAAACGAAAATGGTTTTATTTATTTCGACATTGATTCGAATCGATTCATTTTGAAAATTGTAAGTCATAAATAAGAAAAAAAAACTATGTGAAAACATTAATTATAATGAGTATTTTTTTTCCAAGCACATTTTTCTATATGTTGTCGAAATTGTTTTTATCTCGGATGATTTATCGAGATGCCCAAACAGCAATATAATATTTATTTATATTTGAATCTACGATTTCCAGTATATTCACGTATAGTAATAATAACGACACCTTATTTTCTATAGTTCAAAAATCATCATCATCATCGAATCGTATTTTTTTGTTGTTGAAAAAGACCATATATTGATGAGTGATTTGTCGATTCATCGATTTGATTGATGATGATGATGATGGTTTTGGAGTAGTAGTGGATTCATCCTGTTGAAAAAAATATATACCAAAGAAGAAGAGGAAAAAAATCGAATCTGAACTTTTTGTTGTTGTTGTTGTTTCACCGATGATTACCGACCTATCGACTATGAATGTGAATAGTTTTATATTTCTATAGATACTATAGCAAAGAAAAATGCAATCATACAAACGATTTTTTGAAAGATATAGAAACATATATGGATGAATGGCAATGACCCATCAAAACATAACCGATCATCATCATCATCATCATCGTGAAGATCGAACGCCAATCGTGCAAACATCAAGCTTTTTTTTCCTACTTTCAAACGGGATAGATTTTTGCCACGTTTTTATTTTTCGTTGTCTTTACTGACTTTAATTTAAAAGTCATGCTGGAACAACAACAACAACAACCAAAAAATAAGAATAGAATGATGGAACGAACGAACGAACGAATGATGATGATGATGATGAAGAAGCTGAAAAAAAAGTAAAACTCTCCGGAGAATTGGCAAGTTATAAATTTAAGAACGAAACGAAACGAAAGAATGAATTGAATGAGCGAGCGAACGAATACGAATTTTTTTTTATTTGATGTTTTTTATTTCTTCAAAATTTATACGACAACGAGAAAAAAAAATGTCGAGACCGATTTCCTGGTTCCACACACTCATACACCACACACACACACACATGAATTTCTGCAACGAAAAGAAAAAACAAATGAGACCAGAAAAAAGCTTTTTTTGATTCTGGTTTTGATTTTTATTTTTCTTTTTTTTGAAGATATGAGTTTTTTGTTTTGTTTTTTGTTGTTGTTGTTCTGAATAGAAAAGGGGGTTTGGCTTTTTTTTATATTTATTTATTATTCTGATCTAAGGATTGATGACAACAACACGATTGAACAATGAATAAACCAAAATGGCATTGACATAACCACGTAATGGCATTCGACGATCTGTCTGTGTGTGTGTGTCGTGGTGGTAATAATCATTATTTTGTGCCCAATATTCATTGCATACACATTCAAATATCGTTGTCAATAATAATCGATTGATAAAAACTTGAAACAAAACAAATGATCCATTTGATTTGAAAATGTCAAACGACCAAAAGTTGAATATTTCGTTTCATTTCGTTTGGTTCCATTAAATTTTTTACACGTTTATTTTTACTTACATCCAAAATCATTCATCCACATCCACATTGAATCAATATAAAACACATACAAACACACTACAGATTTTTTAAAGAATAAACTTGTAGTCATTTATTGTTCCAATTTTATAAACATTGATCAATATAATGATAATAATAATTTCTTCAACAAATGGCCATAAATAAATTGAGTGTCGATATATATATACGATGATGATTATGATTATGATGATAGAATCACATCAACAATTCTTTTATATAAGTGGACCACTGACAAATGGTCATCCATTCTGCGTGTGAGTGTGTGAGCCATTTAGATTTTTTTTTTCATTTTATTTTGAAAAAAAACCATTTCGATTTACGATATGTGTAAATTAAAAAAAAAACCAAATACGATTCAATACGATAAATGACCCATTGTATAACTGGGTAAAGTAGGGAAGTATAAAAACATTAATTTGGTTCCGATTCGTGTAAGAATTGACTATAGAGAATGTGAAATATTTATATATAAAACCAAAGAATCGCGTAAGAAATTTTCAATTGAAATGAATGTATATATGATACATACCAACGCCCAATACACACATATAAAGACTTGTGAATTATTTTCATCATTTTCTTTTTCATTCCATTTTCGAATCCTTGTTTGTTTGTTTGTTTCCGTTATAACTCACCAAATTTTTCTCTCATTTTTTTGCTTCTCTCTTTTCATTTGGGAGTCGTTATTCACTTGAATTCGAAAGGTCCAATATGTTTTAGGGTCGTTTTGTTTTTACTTTCACTTCTGGTTGTTGTCGATGTTGTTGTTGTTGTTGTTGTTGTTTTTCACAATTATTTCAATAGCTTTGGGCTTTTGTTGAAAAATTATGGTCCAAATTGGCTCACTGTGTGTGTATGTCTGCTGCAACTACTAATTGGACAACAAATGAATTAATAGCAAAGTTTGTTATTTATTTTCATATATATAAAAAACAAAAACAAAACCTGATGATGATGATGATGATAACTGTACAGTTTAACAGTATGTTTTTTTTTTTCATTTCATCGATTGATGTTTTTAGCCGTCGGTAGCCAATTTTTCATTCTAATTTTTTTTATTTATTTATTTCGATGATAATTTCAAAACAAAAATTCGAATCATTGAATGTCAATAGTGTTTCTATTTCTTGTTTCTATCATTTGTTAGTCGAAATAGTCGATTCGAATATATTTCAACATTCGTGAAAAAAAATACAACCAAAATGCGTAGATTGAATGTATTTTTTTTTGTTGTTGTTGTTTTTTTTGATTGAGTTTTATATTAACGAGTTTAAATGAGAATGGTGATTATTTTATTTTTTATATTTTACTTTTGTTTTTCATCATCATTATCATCATCAATGGTGAAAAAAAACTCTAGAGACCTCTCTCTCTCTCTTTTTCGCCATTCTAGATTCCTTTTTTTTCGTATTTAACACAATAAACAACAACAACACACACACACAGAAAAAGAACAACAACGGATTCACCAATTTGTTATCATTGGTTCTTCGTCGCCGTTTGTATTTAATATGATGATGATGATGATTTTCCAGAATTTGCCTACACATTATAACGTTTTTTCTTTCTCTCTCTCTCTCTCATTCTTTTTCCTGTTGGCCAGAATATTCGATGAAAATGAAATGAAGAAGAAAATACGCTTTACGTCATTAGTTTTTTTTCGGTCGTTCATTCATTCTCTCATTTCACGATTTCATTAAGTCAGAAAGAAAAAAAAAGGGTTAGTTTCTTTTTTTTCTATTCTGAATGAAAAAAGAAAACCAAACGATGGATGATAATAAACCAACAAACTCTCGCACTGGTACACACACACAATGGTAAGGACTTTTTATTCCATTCGATGATTCTGGTAGTCTATATTTTTTTTCTAATTTTATTCTCTTTCTCTGTTTCTATTCATAGAAAATAGCACTTACTTTACACAATTTTCCAAAAGCTATAATATTAACGTATCGCTAATGGTCTTTATGATTCTCTCGATCTCTCTCTATCTATCTATCTATCGACGAAAGAAGAATAAAAAAAAGAACTACTTTTATTGACGACGACAACAAGAACAAATGCCAATATGTTGTATAATGCAACTATTTTTTTCCGAATTAGTTAAAAACGATACAAACGCAACATATATAACATCAAAAATACAATATTCAACAAATTTGTCCTTTTTTATTTTGCCAAACAAAACAATGGCAGTGGTGGTGGTGGTGGTGGTCTGTAGCCCTTTTTTTCTCACTAATTTTCAATTGATGTTTCAAATAATAATAATAATAATGATGATAATGATTACAACCATGATTTTCCAAACTCGAAATCGTTTATTTCGATCCAAAATCATCATCATTGATGATCAACCTTGGATCAATTTATAATACTATTATTATGATTATTATGTTGGTTGTTTTTTCTATTCAAGTATCGTTTCACTTGAATTTGAAATCAAACAGAACTAAAAAAAAAACTTGACAAATTTGCAGAGCAAAAGATTTTCATCGGATTTTTCTTTTTCACAAACAACAACAACAACAACAAAAACGACAAACAACAACAACAACAACAACACAATCCTTTTTCTTTTGTTCATAAAAACATTCATTATTTTGATCAAGGATTTGTTTTTTTTTCTATTCTCTCTTTTTGTATACAAAATGTGAAAGGATTTACGAATACAAAAAAAAACACACACAAACACAGAAAAAGAGAATGGCAAAAAACAAAATGAAATTCTATTGAATCATGATGATGATGATGATGATTATCATTAGATTAACTTTTTTTCACATTTGAAACGGATGGTTCATCTATTGATCACATCAATGGAGAATTCATTTGAAGGCTGATGATTATTTTTCGAATAAAAAAAGAATTTTATTTTCGAACGAAAAAAAAACAAACTTAAAATACATTTGTCGACATCTATCGGCAATGAATATTAAATATTTACAAATGAAAATGATGATGATGATAATGATTACCAATCGGCAGCACCACTTGCAAGATAATCTTTTCGACCTAAACTGGATGCTTGTTTATTTTGTATGGCTTCCAATTTCGGACAATTAGTTATACGATGACCAAGACCACCACAATATGAGCAGCCTTTTTCATCGCCCATATCCAAATATTTTTCACTATCCGATTGTAATGCAATTAAAAATGGTGGTAATTTTTGTTTAGCTTCAATTAATAAATGTTTCATATCCAATAATATTGATTGATCAACTGATTTATTGATGAATGTTGTTGCAATACCTTTTTTACCATAACGACCAGTACGACCAATACGATGTACATAATTTTCAATATCATCTGGCATATCATAATTAATAACATGTTTAATTTCAGGAAAATCCAATCCTTTCGATGCAACATCTGTAGCTACCAATACATCTTTTTCACCACTTTTGAATTCATTCACAGCACGTAATCGTTCTTCTTGATCTTTACCACCATGAATAGCGACAGCCTCAACACCTTTCAATAATAGATATTCATGTATAGCATCGACATCTTGTTTTTTCTCAGCAAAAATCAATACACGTGGTTCGGTTTTCTGTAAACATGATAAAAGATGTACAATTTTTGCTTCTGGTTTAACATATTCAACTTCTTGTACAACATCTTTGGATGCGGCACCAGCTCTGCCAACATTGATGGTCACTGGTTTCACTAAAGCACTACGAGCAAAATTTTGTATTTTCTTCGGCATCGTAGCCGAAAACAAAAGTGTCTGTCGTTGTCCATTGAAATAGGAAAATATGGTACGAATATCTTCTTCGAAACCCATATCGATCATACGATCAGCTTCATCCATGCACAGATATCGGCAAACATTTAGATTGACCATTTTCTTTTCCAACATATCAATCAAACGTCCCGGTGTAGCGACCATGATATGTACACCATGATTGATTGTTTCCAATTGTTCTTTGATCGATAATCCACCAATGCAAAGACATGTACGTAAACGAGGCATTTTTCGATCATGTAGCGCGACACTTTGGCTATAGAATTCAATAATTTCAAAAATTTGTCTAGCCAATTCTCTTGATGGTACTATGATTAATCCGTATGGACCTTCGTTTCGTTGAAAAGCTAATTTGTATTCTTGTTCCAAACAAAACATGATTATGGGTAGAACAAAAACCAATGTTTTTCCTGAACCAGTGAATGCAATGCCAATGATGTCTCGACCCGATAGAACAGCTGGTAATCCTTGCATTTGTATGGGCGATGGTTTTTTAATATTCTGCTTTTTCAGGCTATTTAACAAACATTTAGGAAATTTCATCGATCGAAACGATGTTATTGTCGGCGGTAATGATTCACCTTCCACGGTGATACGATATTTCTTTCGAACTTTTTCATGTGATTCTTCTGCTTTGTTCAATATGTATTTCGGCGCCTTCCATGAGGTTTTAATCGGATCTTGATATTGTATACCTTTGGCCAATTCTGATACAGCCATCAATGCCTTTTTTTCCGCTACACTTTCCAATATCTTTTCCTCTTCTTTAAGCTGCTTTTCAATATCATTTTCTTTTTTAGCTTCGGCTTTTTTCTTCAATTTAGAATGTTGATCCAATAAACTTAGTTTAGCTCGTCGAAGTTTTTCCAATTCATTATCAACGTTTGTTTGATTTGTAGTATGTTGTGATTGTTCATCATCGGAACCAGGTAATGATTGTGATTCATCATCTTCACTTGGATGTCCAGAAATTAATAATTTTTTATGGCTAATTTCTGCCAATTTTGCTTGACGTCGTTGTTTCAATGGAACATAAGGAACATAGTTGTCAAGATCAGAATCATCATTATCATCTGATGAATGTGTTTTATATCTCTGTGACAAACATAAAAAGGATGAAATTATAATAAACGATTATTTATTGAATAAATCAAACCTTTTTTGATGATTTTAAATTATCATCCGATAATTGATTTTGTTGTGGTTGATCCATTTGAAATTTTGTGTTTAAAAATTTTTTTTTTATTGTTGCAATAAATCGAAACGATGAATTCGATTGTCGACGACAACAATCGATAGTGTTGTATAGAATCGCCTTTCACTTTGTTGTGTGTGTGATGGTGTGTGTGTTTGAGTTTGATGTTTTCCATAATTTTGCATAGGCAGCAGCAACAAGATATCTTGTTCATATTTGTGTACCATGGTACACTGAAGGCATTATTTGATTTTTTTTTCATTGTTAATCATCAAATTCAATTCAATTATTATAACAGACAAACAAACGAAAATCTTAATGAATCACAATCTTCCATAAAATTATTCACTTTCTTTTTTTTCATTCATATTTTTCAATTATATGATATGATGATGATGATACACTGCTCAACCTCGAAAGAAAAAAAAACTACTCTCTGGCTTCAAAGTTTGTTTTGCCCTTAAATAATTTGGCATATCGCGTATCGATGACCAATTTTTTTTTGTTTTTTTTTCTATAATGTGTGATATTCATCATCTGGCAATATCATCGATACAATAATAGTTATTATTCCTTTCCATTTTTTTTTAATAATCTATTTCTCTCGACATAAAATTTTGTGATCATTTTGTCATCAATTAACGAATCTAACAATGGCTTTGAATATGAATACTCAGAATAATAACAATAACCATATTATTTCTACTAATAACAACAACAACAACCATAATAATAATAATAATGTTGTTGTTTCATTAACAACAAATAATCAACGAAATCATCAACGTTTACAACAACAACCATCATCATCATCATCATCAACGACAATAACATCATTGATAAATAAATTACAACAATCATTTAGCGATGCCATGTCAGCGCAAAAAACAACTGTGGATCGGAAAAATTTTGAAAAAACCTATAAAAATATGAACAAGGTAAATTTGGTCAAATTATTGGCAAAAAAAAAAAAAAAAAAAAATGAAGAGGAAGAGCAAACAACAAACGAAAGGAAGCGCTTTTTTTTCTCGTTCTATGCCAAATGCTTTTATTTCATGTTTGCCAGTTTAATGAATCATTTCCTTTTTAATCGAAATGATGTGTGTTTGTGCTTGCGTCTGTTTCTATTCTCTAAACAGGATGATGATATAATCATCATATAATTTTTAAATTCAAAACAGTCATTGATGATCAATTGTATATATATTAATTTATTATTATTATCATCATTATATTATCCACTATATAGGTTGTTAAGCTTTGTCAACATAGCCGTATGAATCTGAAAAATTCACCACCATTTATTCTGGATATTCTGCCGGAAACATTTCAACATTTAACCACTGTTTATAGTAAACATGAAGATCGTTTATTTATTCTCGATGAGAATGAATATTTTCGTATATTTTTAGAAAATTTGAATAAAAAATGTAAACAAGCCATAAAATTATTTAAAGAAGGCAAAGAAAAAATGTTTGATGAAACTAGCACTTATCGTCGTAATTTAACAAAATTATCATTGGTATTTAGTCATATGTTATCTGAGCTTAAAGCCATATTTCCTAATGGTACATTTGCTGCCGATAATTTTCGTATAACAAAATCGGATGCAGCAGAATTTTGGAAAAATTCATTCGGTGATCGTACAATTGTGCCATGGAGGTTTTTTCGCCAATCATTACATCATGTTCATCAGATTAGTTCTGGCTTGGAAGCTATGGCATTAAAATCTACTATCGATCTTACTTGTAATGATTATATATCCAATTTTGAATTTGATGTTTTCACCAGGTTTGTGTTTTATTTGTTTTTTTTGGTTTTTTATAATCATTGTCTTTTTTTTTTTTTCACAGACTTTTTCAGCCATGGTCAACTTTATTGAAAAATTGGCAAATATTAGCTGTCACTCATCCTGGATATGTTGCCTTTCTTACCTATGATGAAGTGAAGGCACGTTTACAGAAATATATTAATAAACCAGGAAGGTTTGTATATATTCAAGTTTTGTTTATTTTTAATAATTAACTTAATATATCCACATATAGTTATGTATTTCGATTGTCATGTACAAGACTTGGTCAATGGGCCATTGGTTATGTAACACCAGATGGTAATATTTTACAGACGATACCTCAAAATAAATCACTTTGTCAAGCTTTATTGGATGGCTATCGTGAAGGATTGTAGGTGGTTTTTTTGTTTTGTTTTACATTAATAATAATTGTATGTATGTATGTGTGTGTGTGTTTTTTTTCCAGTTATCGCTATCCAGATGGACGAAACATTAATCCTGATCTAACATTAGCTGTTACATCAATGCCAGAGGATCATATTCGTGTTACACAAGAACAATATGAGCTATATTGTGAAATGGGATCAACATTTCAATTGTGTAAAATATGTGCCGAAAATGATAAAGATATTCGTATTGAACCTTGTGGTCATTTACTCTGTACACCTTGTTTGAATGCTTGGCAGGTATGTATTTTACATTGAACCAAATTTATTTATGATCATTTATCTATCGATTCATTCATAGGATACCGAAGGACAAGGTTGCCCATTTTGTAGAGCTGAAATCAAAGGAACCGAACAAGTGGTTGTCGATCCATTTGATCCAAGAGGAGGAATATCTTGCCAAAAAATGTCTTCCATTCAAATGATTGAAAATTTAAATAAAACTGCCAATTCAATTGGTAGTTGTAATAGTAATAATAATAATAATAATTCCTCATCATCATCAAATAATGTGCCTAAAACAACAACAACAACAACTACAAATCAAGATCATAGTAGTAATAATAATAACAATAATAATCAAGATAATCTTGATGAAAGTGAAAATTGTTTTGAGGTATGATAATGGCATGTATGTTTTTCTTTGAAAAAAAAAATTCCAATAATTTATTCATCACCATTGCTTTTAAATAATAATAACATCTGTGTTAGTAATACACACACACACACACAAATATACACCCCCATATATATGATTAAGAATCAAAAAAAAAATCTGTTCATTATGATGATAATTTTAATTGCCAAAAAACCAAAAAAACAAAAACATTCATGTTCGTGTTTTCTGTATTAACCGCTTATATTTATGATGCTTGATTGATTGATTTTGATTTTTATTTTAGTAAATAACATTTTTTTTTTTTTTTTTTAGAAAGTTTTTGTTTGTTTGTTTGTTTGTAGTGTTTTTTGTAGTTTATTGTGCTTGATGACTACCACTGATGATAATAATAATAATTTAATGGTTATTTTGAAGAGAAAAAAAACAAATAAATTCTTTTTCCAAATTTTAGGATCCAAATACATGGATAGAATCATTGAATTCATTAGAATATAATAATACATCGGATAATGAGGCAAGTTTTTTTTGTTGCTCATTTTAAAATATTGATATTTTTTTTTTTTTTTTTGGTTGCCGTTTTCAGATTAGACAACAACAGCGTTCAATAATGGTGATGGGAGAATCGATTGTTTTATCGCAACAACAACAACAACAGCCACCACCAATACCACCACGGAAAGCATCACCAATTACAACACCTAAACATCAATCAATAATTTCATCACCATTAATTCCATTGATGATGTCAATTAATAATGGATCCAGTAATCATCATCATCAACAACAATCTTCATCTTCATCATCTTGTAAACCAGCTATTATCAATAGTAATAATGGAAATACAACAATTGATGATGATGATTTTAAAGATGATGAATCAACAACAACGACAACGACAACATGGTCAAAAACAACAGTATGGCCTACTACATTACAATAATCAAAATGATTATTCAAATTCATATACATTCTGCCACCACCACCACCACCACCACCATTATTACTACTACTACTATTACTACTAATCGGATTTTATTAAAATGATCATTGATATTGATCATCATGGTTATCATCATCATCACATGAATTAATTTCAATTTTCTATATTAGATTTTTTTTTTCATTTCAATATATATTTTGTATGTACATAATTCGTGTGTTTGACGAAAACAGAAAAAAAAATCAATTTTCTCTCTCTGTGTGTGTGTGTTTGTTTTATTTTTGTTTTTTTTTTTTTGCTTGTTTTTTTCCTATTTTCTTTCTATCTGTATGAACCAATTTTTTTCCCGCCACCACCACCATCAATATATTATGTAATTTTTCATTCAAAAAAAAAGAAGAAAAATGAATTATTCATCATCATCATCATCATCAATTATATTTTGTCAAATTTCAAATTATTATAATTATATAACTGTTCGTTTATGATGCACAGAAGAAAAAAAAATGAACAAACTAGCGAACCAGAAACGAGAAAAAGTTTTCCGTTTTTTGTTTTGTTTATTGGGGTTCGAATTATTATTATTTTTTTTTTAAAGCTTTTGACAACAAATTCTATTATTATCCTTGGTTTCGTGTGTGTGTGTGTGTGATGATTATCCAACAACAACAACAACCACCACCGAGTTAACTAAGGCCAATATTCAATCATTCTATGTATAGAATGAATGCATACAAATTCCAAGTATCATGAACCAAGGAACGAGAAAAAAAATCATTTTTTTTCTGTTACATTCCATCGATTTTGATTATTATTATTCAGTGGTGGCATTTTTTTTTCTTCAACCAAATCTTATCATTCATTCATATTTGATATATTCAGAATATTTAATTCAAAAAATTCTAATGATGATGGTGTGTGTGTGATCATTTTTTTTTTAATGATGATGACGATGGCAGGTTGTTGTCGTTGTTGTTGATTGAAGCTCGAAAAAGACGGTAATAATGATTACCTGTGTGTGTGTGTGTTTGTATGAAACTTGGAAAGTTGATTCCAGACAAAAAAAAATGAATTTTTTTTCACATTTGGAAATTTGATTTTTTTTTTCTCCTTTCTACTTCTTTTTTTCTCGTCGCCGTCATATTTTTTTTTTCATTTCCTCATCCCAAAACTCATTTTTGATTCACAGTTCCATATTTATTATTGATAATTTTCATATTTATTATTAAATGAAGATGATGATGATGATGATGATGATGATCATTTTCAAGCATTACAACAACAACCACATTGGTTGGTTTCAAACTTATTTCAACCATCATAATGATCACACAATTGTAGACATCAGCATCGTTGACGACCTATTGTGAACTGAACATACACACACATAAAAGACACAACAGGGGCACAGAAAGAGAGCGAAAGAAACAGAAATAATAAAAGAATGATGCGGCGTTCAATGACGAAACAACGAACGAACGAACGAACAAATAAAGGATTCTGTTCCAAGCGAATTTTTTTTTCTAGTTGCAAGAACAACAGCGTCTGCTCCAGTAGCAAATATACACTAGCATCAAATTTTTTTTTTCAGCGAGTTCCACTGCAGAATTTTTTTTTTTTTATTTTGATATTATCCATCTGTATATCAAAAATTCTTCTTGATGATGACGATGGTGGTGGTGGTAGTATTGGCATTTGGTTTATTTGAACCAGAATTTTTTTCCCAAAAATAAAATCCATATAGTGGTGGTGGTGGTGGTTGGTTGGTTGGTTGGTTGATGGAAACATCCGACCAACCAAGAAACGAAATGAAAATCTGCTACTTCTGCTTTGCGTAATCGATTTTTATTTTTGTTTGTTGTATTTTCTTTGCTTTGCTTTACTTTATTTTCGATGCTATTTTGGTTCCTATTCTAGTCTCTCTCTCTCTCTCTCTTTATCACCCACACACACGCTGTGTACCAGAGAAAAAAAATTGTGCCAAAATAATATGATTGGATCTCTTTTACTTCACCATATACTACACACACACACACACACAAAGTATCAAGAAAAAAGAGAGAGAAAAATGATAAAAGAACATGACGAAATTCTTTCTTGCCATATATAACTAGATTAAATGTATTTATATAATGGTCTTCAATGAATCAAAAACGAAAATTTTCTTCCAACGAAAATAACAACCAAAAAAATCGAATCTTCAAATGAAATAAAAAGAAAATGAGATGAATTAAACGATTTTTCTTCTTCTTCTTCTTATTCTCAGTTGTCGTTTATTGTTGTGTAACAATAGTTCATGATCCAATAATCCAATAAATTTTCATTTTCAGATCCATTTCTACACACACACACACAGAATAAACCCTCCTCATTGTGTATCTTATTCTTGATTGCTCATCATCATCATCAAGAAGAAATATTCAGCAAACAAAAAAAAACATGCTAATTTTTCAAAAAACATTGTCATTATAATAATAATCATCATCATCATCATCATCATCATCGTTGTATTTTAATAAAATCATCATATTCATAATCATCAAATGGAAGCAATATTCACTTCTTCTTCTTCTTCTTGTTTATAATAGGCACATTGTTTTTTTTCTTTTTTTTTTTGCTGCAACTTTTGTTTCTGGGTCATTGTTTCAGTTAATCGATTGATTGATTTGTTGTTGTTGTTGTTGTTGTTTTTCGAATTAATTATAAACGGTATGTTGTTGTTGTTGTTGTTGTTTTTATATTTAAATGTTTTTGACATTTACATTTTTTCTCCACTGTTGTACGTTTTATCACGAAATTTTTATTTTCTTTTTTTTTTTCTGTGGTCGCCAAATCATCAAATTTTTTTTTGTATTCATTAATTAGTAATTTATTATATTGATATGCCAATCAAACGAAACGGTAGTTTAATAAAAAAGAATGGCAACAAAGAAAATATTGAAGATCTCAAACAGGAGGTTATTATGGATGAACATAAAATCATTATTGAAGAATTAGTATTACGATTGAAAACAAATGCCGACATTGGACTGACGAATGCTCAAGCTAAAACCGTTCTTGAACGTGATGGACCAAATGCATTGACACCGCCGAAAAAAACACCAGAATGGGTTAAATTCTGTAAACAATTATTCGGAGGTTTTGCACTGTTACTTTGGATTGGTGCTGTACTTTGTTTTTTTGCCTATTCCATACAGGCAACTACATATGAAGAAGCATCACCAGACAATGTAATTTAGATTCAATTCGATTGCATTGTTGATAATAATTATTTATTTTTTCATTTTTAATCAATCAATTGATCGATAGCTTTATCTTGGTATCGTATTGGCCGGTGTCGTTATAATAACCGGATGTTTTTCCTATTATCAGGAAGCCAAATCATCTGCTATAATGGAATCATTTAAAAATATGGTACCACAATTTGCCACTGTAATACGTGAAGGACAAAAATTAACAGTACCGGCTGAAGAGATTGTTGTTGGTGATATTATTGAAATAAAAAGCGGTGATCGAATACCGGCAGATATTCGTATATTAAAATCACAAGGATGTAAAGTAGATAATTCTTCATTAACAGGCGAATCTGAACCACAAACACGTTCACCTGAACTTACACATGATAATCCCTTGGAAACTAGAAATTTAGCATTCTTTTCGACAAATTGTGTGGAAGGTACCGCTCAAGGAATTGTTATCAATACTGGCGATCGTACAATAATGGGACGTATAGCGAATTTAGCTTCTGGCCTGGAAATGGGTGAAACACCCATTGCAAAAGAAATTGAACATTTTATCCATATTATTACTGGTGTTGCCGTCTTCCTTGGTGTTACATTTTTTCTAATAGCATTCGTACTTGGTTATCATTGGTTGGATGCTGTTATATTTTTAATTGGAATTATTGTGGCCAACGTACCGGAAGGTTTATTGGCCACCGTAACCGTTTGTCTAACATTAACGGCCAAACGTATGGCAAGTAAAAATTGTTTAGTAAAAAATTTAGAAGCCGTAGAAACATTAGGATCAACATCGACAATTTGTTCGGATAAAACGGGTACATTAACACAGAATCGTATGACTGTATCACATTTATGGTATGATCGTAATGTTGCCGAAGCTGATACTACTGAAGATCAATCAGGAAAACAGCATGAAAAAACATCAATCGGTTGGAAAGCATTAAGTAGAGCCTGTTGTCTATGTAGTCGTGCTGAATTTAAGCCAGATCAAGATGATGTTCCTATTTTAAAAAGGTTTGTTTGTTTGTCTTTTTGTTTGTTTTTGTTCTTTTTTTTCATTGGTTGGTTGGTGGGTGGTGGTGGTTGTTGTTTGTTGTTCAAAAAAAATATTACTTACATATCAATTCAATTTTTGTATATTTTCAATTCACACCAACAACAACAAAAAAAACCCCTACAAACAGAGATTGTATTGGCGATGCATCTGAATCAGCAATACTTAAATGTATGGAATTAACTATTGGCAATGTGGATGAATATCGTAGAAAAAATCCAAAAGTTTGTGAAGTTCCATTCAATTCAACTAATAAATATCATGTTACTATACATGAAACGGAAGAAATTCCACAATCATGCTATTTACTATGCATGAAAGGAGCACCGGAACGTATTCTCGATAGGTTTGTGTTTATTTTGTTTGCCTATGTTGTTGTTGTTGTTGTTGAATGCTTTTTGAATAATAATAATTTTATTCTTATTCTAATTTAGATGTACAACCGTACTATTGAATGGCGAAAATAGAATTATTGATGAACAATTTCGAAATGATTTTAATGCCGCTTATATTGAATTAGGTGGATTGGGTGAACGTGTTATTGGATTTTGTGATTATCCATTGCCTATAGATAAATATCCACCCGGTTATCCATTCGATCCGGATGAAGAGAATTTTCCATTAGATTGTTTACGATTTTTAGGATTGATTTCAATGATTGATCCACCTAGAGCTGCTGTACCCGATGCTGTGGCCAAGTGTAGGTAGGTGTTGCCATTATTATTATTCTGATTGCCGTTGATTGTTGATTTAATTTGAATATAAATTTCTGAATAAATAGGAGCGCCGGTATCAAAGTTATAATGGTGACTGGTGATCATCCAATTACAGCTAAAGCTATTGCTAAAGCTGTTGGAATAATTTCTGAAGGAACTGAAACATCTGAAGATATTGCTAATCGACTGAAAATATCTATCGATCAAGTTGATTCAAGTAAAGCAAAAGCTATCGTAGTTCATGGCCAAGAATTAAAAGATATGAAAGAAAATCGTTTGGATGAAATACTTAAAAATCATACGGAAATAGTTTTTGCACGAACATCACCGCAACAAAAATTATTCATTGTTGAAGGCTGCCAACGGCAAGGTAATGTTCAATGTTGCTAATCTTTTTTGTTTTCACAAATAATTGATTCCAACATTTGAACATTTTAAGGTCAAATTGTTGCCGTCACCGGTGATGGTGTGAATGATTCGCCGGCATTGAAAAAGGCTGATATTGGCGTTGCAATGGGCATCGCTGGTTCCGATGTATCCAAACAAGCTGCCGATATGATTCTTTTGGATGATAATTTTGCATCAATTGTAACCGGTGTTGAAGAAGGACGATTAATATTCGACAATCTTAAAAAATCTATTGCATATACCTTGACTAGTAATATACCTGAAATATCTCCATTCTTATTTTTTATCATTTTCAATGTACCATTGCCATTGGGAACAGTTACAATATTATGTATCGATCTTGGCACCGATATGGTACCGGCAATTTCATTAGCATATGAACAAGCCGAAAGCGATATAATGAAAAGGCAGCCAAGAAATCCGATGAAAGATAAATTAGTTAATGAACGTTTAATTTCTGTTTCATATGGCCAAATTGGTATGATACAAGCAGCGGCTGGTTTTTTCACCTATTTTGTTATTATGACCGAATCTGGTTTCACACCTGATTATATATTCGGATTAAGAGAAGCATGGGATTCAAAAGCCATCAATGATTTACCTGATTCATATGGACAGGAATGGGTAAGCAAAAAAATATAGATTCCTCCAATAACAATTACCACTCTAAATATCGTTTGTTTTTGTTTTTCAACAACAACAACAACAACAACAGACATACAAAACACGAAAAGATCTTGAATACACTTGCCATACTGCTTTTTTCGTATCGATCGTTGTTGTACAATGGGCAGATTTGATTATTTGTAAAACACGTCGAAATTCCATCATTCATCAAGGCATGAAGTGAGTTTGTTTATTTTTTTCTCTCTCTTGAGAATCCACTTTTGATTATTAATGTCTTATTTTTATTTTCAATCAATCAATCAATCAATCATTGGTAAATGTATTGAATGAATAGCAATCATGCTTTAAATTTTGGCCTAGTTTTCGAAACAGTTTTAGCCGCATTTCTATCATATTGTCCGGGTATGCCAGTTCTTCTTCGATTATATCCTTTGAAGTAAGTAAAAAAGAAGATGAACAGAAAAAAATGATGTTTATAATGGGGTGGTGGGTGGGTGGGTGTTGGTGTCACATTTTATTAAAATCAAAAATTTTTTTTTTTCAATTTCTCATTTTCTCGATAATAAAATAATATACATTTAATATAGATTCACATGGTGGTTACCAGCGATACCATTTTCAATATTAATATTTATCTATGATGAAATTCGTCGTTTTATACTTAGACATCGTCCTGGTGGTTGGGTTGAACAAGAAACTTATTATTGAAAAAAAAAAACAAAAAAAAAAAACAATAATATCAACATCAACAACAACAACAACAAAAAAAAGAATAAAAATAATCAATTTTACAATGATGAAATGAATGATCATCAAAAGAATACAATATACAAATCCGAAATGGTAATGTTTTTGTTGTCGTTGTTGTTAAATTGTTGTTGATGATGATGATGATGGTTAAATGTTCCCAAATATTTATAAATTGAAAAGCAAGCAAGAGAGAGAGAGAGAGATGGGTGAAATTTATAAACACATTTATCTTAATGGTTTGTGATCAACAACAAAAAAAAAAACAGCAAAAAAAAGATATTCTTGCCAGAAGCAGCTTATTACACCTATACTTAATGATTCACACACACACACACACACACACAGATTTACATTTACAAACACACACACACAAAAAAGATAATTTCCGTATATATAAAAACATTTACTTGTACAACTTGGTGATGATGATTTTCTTTCATCGTCAAATATGTCATTGTGTTTTGTTTTTTTTTTTCTGTTTCATGTGAGTATCATTTAAAAATTTCCGAATCATTTTATTTCAATTTGTAGCAAATCATTATCATCATCATCATCATCATGTTATTTGTGTAAAGGCAAAGAAATTAAATCGATGAAATAAAATTTGAAATGATTGATTGTTTGTAATTATTATTATTTTTTTTTCTAATTTATGATTGAAAAACGTATGGTTTTGTTTTTTTTTTGTTTATTTAATTTTTCAATGATAAACACTGTCACGTGATACACTCATATCATGAATGGCTGATATTGACATTGAATTTCGTTGTCGATAAGCTTCGATTTCTTTTTGTCTGTTTTTACGAGGGAAAAATGAATTAATTGAATGAATGAATGAATATAATTTTCATACCTGATACACATGTAAACAAAAACACCTGACAATGTGGTCATAATAAGATTCAATAAAATGATCAATAATTTTAGACCACCATCGCCAATAAAACAATTAACAACGATTGCAATTGCCATGACCACGGCAAACACCGATACAACCGAAACTTTTCGTAATAAAGCACCAAGTAATCCAATCAATTCAAAAGTGAAACAAATTAAAGCCATAATCAACATGGCCACTGCACTCATTTCTACAATTTAAAAACAACAATTTGTTATAAATGATGTGGTGGTGGTTTTTTTTTTGCTACATTACCGACTGATTTTCGATCCTGTGGATGATAATTATTGCTGGGAATATTTTTCGTCGTCGTCGTTGTCGTTGTAGTTGTTACATCTTGTGCATTGGCCAATGCAAATAATCCGGATACTAATTGTGAAATTGATCCAATAATGCCAAATATAACAATCAAAATCAATATATATCGTATCAAAGCAAAACTATCTGAATATGGATAAGTAGACATTGTTGTTGTTGATACACAAATTATTTAATTGTATTCGTCGTTGATTCGATTCTAGTCGTTTTTTTTCTCTCTCGATGATAGATTTGAAAGAAAATATCAATCCTGATCAATAATGTACGTTCGATATGTTTACCGATTCTAATCGAATCGTTTGTTGTTGTTCCATTGTTCATGATGATACCACCTATGTGTGTGAATGTAATGTCTAGGTCATGTTTCCACTCTTATCATTTTTTTCCTGTAAATCTCTCTTACAAACAACAACAAAAACGACAACGACAACGATAATGGCACAGAGAATAAGTTGTTTTTTGTTGTTATTGTTGTTGTTGTTGACGTCGTCATCGAAATTTTTTAGTGTGAATGATAGAAAAAAAAGGCGTACATATAAAACTACTACACGACACAAAATTAGGCCATAATCATCATCGATATGATTCTGTTTTTTCGATTTGATTAGACGATTCGATTCGATATTATTTTTCATTGTGATTTTTCTTTCTTTTTTGTTTTTGCCATTATTATTATACAATATCATTTCATTGTGATTCATCAGAATCATAGAATATATATATAGGCAATATATTCGTGTATACGATATATTATTGGCGTATGTATGGATTGGATTGGATATATGTATGCTAAAAATAAAATCAAAGAAAAAAAAACATTAGGCCAACAAATCATATATGCTGGTAATATATTCCAAAAAAAAGATAAATAAAATGGTGTTATGTATAGTGCCAAATTTGCAATGGAAAAAGGCTAAAATTTTAGGTTTACGCCCAAAAATGTTTCGGATCGTTTTTTCTTTCTTTCTTTGGCTTTTTTTGGAACTATTTTTTTCGGAATATAAATCAAAAAAAAAAGCAAAAAAAAAATCACAAAATTTATTCATACTTCAATTCGAACAAAGTTCATATATGAATCAATCAAAAAAAAAGACAAAAAAATTAATTATTAATAAGTTTCACAATAGTAGTTTATTCATACCAGAAGAGGTATATCTCTAAGATTTGATACCTGACAACAATATATAATTTCACATTTTGTTTTGTTTTTTTCAAAAATCATTCATTGACATGTGCTGTCATCTAGTGTCTGGAAAAAAATGGTTAATTTATCCACGTGACAAAATGATGGACAAAACTATCGATTGTTCGTAATTTAAATCTTTTAAATCTTAAATTTTTTGAAAAACTACCATCGTATTTCCGAAAAAAAAAAATTAATTATAATCATAAAACAGGTGCATCGATTTGAAAATCGGAAAGCTCTCCGGGTGTCAATTTAAGATTCTGTTTTTTTTGTGAGAAAAAAAAAGTTATTAGTTTAACTCGATTTAAATATAATTGTCAATTTGAAATCAAAATACCTTTTCATTACATAAATGTAATAAGGCTACAAATGAAATCGGTGTACTAAGATTTTCATTCAAATTTTGTCGTAATGTAAATGGCAGATTTTGACGTAATTTGGAAAATGAAAAATTTTTTTGGCTATCACCAATATCCGACGATGATGTATTGTTGCTGGAAATTTCTTCATCCATTATCGGACTAGTGGTTACCGTTGCTTGTTTGATTAGTGACCACATACTTAATTTCACACGTTTTATATCAACTTTTTTGGCCACTTTTGCATAATCAATATCCAATGCATCAACATGACTGGGTTCGGAATCTAAATTAATAGGCTCGGTATCTAAATCCAAATTAAATCTATCTGCAGCCAAATCATTATCGAAATCAAAATCCGTTTGTTGTCGAATTGTTTCGTCCATATGGTGGTCACCATCAAATTCATTGTTCATAATGCCATCATCATTGTAATCGTTATTGTCTCTCCTATTACTATTCTTGTTTTCAATCAATCCATGGAAATTATAATCAATGGTGAAACAAGATCTAGTTTTATCATTCATTTTGTAGTTTCGTTGAATCTCACACAATGTTCTTCCGTCTGCAGAACTAATCCATTTGGATACTGTTTGATCTTGAAAATGAGAAAGGCTTGAAATTTTAAATTTTTTAACGAAATCTGTATGCTTAATACTGAAATCATGAGCAATATGAGCCGCTCGTTGTCGTTTAGGTTTTACCGCTGATTTTTTATTACGATTCAAATAACGATATCGGGCAACGTTTCGGAAAGTTTTTTTCAAAAATTCTCCATCGAAGAATTGATTATTCATTTCTTCAGCTCGTGGTAAAAATTTTAGAATGTTTTCAGAATCGGAATCACTTTCATTCGCAATTGATTCACTCATTATTGAAGGATTGACGTAATCATCGAAATTGACATCGTCTGGTTCATGAATATCATCGACGTTTGCGTTGATATCGAAATCAAAATTTAAATTAGTGTCTGTATCGAATTGTTGCTGTTGTTGTTGGCTGGACAATTCTTCTGGTTCGATATCAATGTCTCGACGAAGAAATTCAAAATTCATGCAAGGACGACTAATGTAATGATGTTCGAAAGCATATTCAGGCTTTAAGAATGGAAATTTTATAGTACAGCTTTCGATATTTGGTAATGAATCAAAATCTAAACTTGCTTTTGAATCCAATAACATGGTAGCATGTGGATTTACCGATAAGTTGGCCATTAACAAAGAATTGACATTGCCAACATCGAATGCAGCCGACAAATGATGAAACAATGGATCGATTTCAATATTTGTTTCAAGTTTTCCATTCAACGATTCAATATTAGCTGCAATTGTTTTGATGTTTTTTCTTTGCCTTTTACGTCTTGCTCTGTCATTATTTTCACCAAAATCGTTATCAAAAAGACCATCATCAAAATTTGCATCATTTTGTTCAGCGGTTGCCATGGATAAACTGGACGATATTTTTTGCGTATTTGAAAAAACAAGATCCACTTTACTTTCATAAAGTTTAGTTCCAGCATCGATCGACATTCCTATCATCTTGAAATCAACATTGTCGTTTGGTAAAATAAACTTCATATTGCTTATGAAATTGTAAGAAAAAGCATTATTTGGATTGAATGATTTAGAATTGATTTCAAGCAATGAATTCAAATAGACACCAAATTCTTTTTGATCCACGCGTCTTTCGATAGATTTCTCTTGATCATCAGGATCAGCTTCAAATGTACGTAAACTTTTTCGGCTATCCAAAGCACGTCTCGAAAGGCTAACTTTACGTTTGCCATCTTCATTGATGTTTGGACTTGAGATGAAAGAATTTCCTTCGAAAATATCCTTAGATGTAGCCATTTTCAAACATTAAACATCTTGTATATAAAATAATGGTGTTGAATAAAATTTCACAACGGTCCAATCGAAGCGCGAGTCAATTTTTTTCCTATATCCACACTGCTTGCCACAATGCTGTTCATATAGAAATTCTGAAGAAAAAAAATTCAAAATTTCCATGACAACAAATTGTTTTATTTTTAATTTCAAAATCTCAATATCGAAATTCTTCTAACCATATTTCACAATTGGGAATTATAAATTTGTGAATCATCTATTTTAAAATTAATCATGTCCAACGAATGGGATGACATTGTTTGTCTACCAATCATCGATATTAGCAACAATTATAACAAGAATGATGTATCAATCGAACAAGATTCAATAGATTTTATTACTTATCAACAATTACATTCTCATGTATTTAGCATCGATCTTGGTGGACCAGTAATTATCATTTGATTGATTTTATTTTTATCTTTTGCACATGATTAATTCTCTTTTGTTTTTCAGCATGATCAAAAGATTCATTTTGAAAAGAAATGCAATTTTTTAATGAAAATTTTACGATACATGTTATTCTGGAAAACGTATGAACTAAAACCACATTTTGTTGCCGAAGGCAATAGAATTATACGTATTGCTGGCCAAACATTTGATAATCGTAATAAATTACATATCAGATGTTTGTATACAATTTTTGCTAAATTAACCGGTAATGTTGTTTTGGGCATGAAAAGATTTGGCCAACATTGGGAAGAAATTGGTTTTCAAGGATCCGATCCGTCTACTGATTTTCGTGGTGTTGGTTTGCTTGGTTTATTTCAATTAACATTTTTTGTAATTACGCCGAAAATTTGCCAACTAAGCAAAGAAATCTATGATCTATCAATGGATCAAGTTCAACATTATCCATTTGCCATTACTAGCATGAATATAACGCAGATTGTTTTGCAAATGTTACGAGATGGTTCACTTAATTGTTTCATAAATCGATCCGATTCAGTTTTGATTATTTTCAATCAATTTTATTATGGTACATTTCTTTATTTTCATAAAATCTGGAAAAAAGATAAGAAAACAATTATGGACATTGGCTATGTCCTAAAAGGTATGAAAAGATAGCAAATTGAAAATTAATCAATTTTTTTCATGTCGATAGATTTGAGGTATTATGTCAGGAATAATTTGAAAAAAATTCTCGATGATCTAGTCAATTATCAATCAATGGAAATGAATAAACCTGGCCATCAAGAAAATTTTACCAACATAATCAATATTGATGATCGGAATGATAATTAATTTTTCAAACTTGAATGTGAAGGCAATTCTGGTGGTGACTGATATACGTTTTTTTTATCGGGTAATTCTGGCGGTAATTCATCTTGATCTTCTTCCAACGATATCGATGACGTAGACATTGGATAATAGACACTTAATTGACTTTGTATCGATGTACGTGAACTACTATAATTTCCACTAGATGGTCGTGATGAAATTCGTGATGATTTATTAAAATTTTCATTTTGATTATTTGATGATGGCGATTGTTGTTGTTCATTATTATTGTTGTTTGTATCAGAAATAAAACTTAAATTTCCTGTCGATTTTTTATGATGATCTGTATACCATTGTGTTTGTGAAATGTTTGCATTCGATGAATAACATATTGAATTTGATGAATCTGGATTCAAACGTCGTGAATCTTTTCGTCGAAAACGTAATGTATTTGTCAAAGTGTTTGCGGCATTTGTGTTTGATCGTCCAAATAATGATCGTTTGGTTAATGTCCTAAAAAAATCGATAAAAATACATGAAAGAAATGAAAAAAATCTAGTCAAATTTAATGACAACATACATTGTTCCATCGATTGAATTTCGATGTGAGATTATTTGAGCTGTATCAGTAGGCATTGAAATGGTTAATCGTTGCATTTTATAATGATTTTCAATAATTTTTTGCATATCAGCAGGAAGATCACCATGATAGATATCTTCATATTTACATCGGACATCATTACGCATTTTTTCAAATGATTCAACAATATATTGATAAAGACCATCCATACTTTGATTAATAACATGTTGCCGTTGTTTTTGATCAGCTATTTTAATGGCCAAATCTAACAATGGTATTTGATCGACAATTAATCTTCTCAGATGATCCAAATCTTCTTTATCATATTCATCATCATGTTTATTATTATTATCATTATCGAAAAATGCTTCTTCATATTTGGAAACACCACCTTGAACATCAGAGCTAACAATACCTTTGATATGCATCAACAGATTATGCAATGGATGTTTATTATCATCATCCAATAGATATCTATAGATGATCATACGTGTTTTTTCATTCATTTTTTCCATCGTATCGATAGCATTTTTCAATGGATTCAATTGATATGTGAATTTTTCGATAATTTCCGAACGATACAATATACCGGGCAATGAAAACGCTGTACGATATTCACTTCTTTCAATCCACATACAAGCAAACTCATTCGATACAGGTCTTGATACATCATGGTTATAAGCATCTTTGATTAATTTTCTTGAAAATGTAAAACGATTAATTTCATTATATTGATAATATTTAATTATTCTTTCATCAACCAGTGTTTGTAAAAATTTATTCTTCACTTCATCACTAACTTTAGGATCAACACGATAAATGGACAGATATTGATCATTTTGATTAGCTAGTTCAGATTCCTGTATATCCAATTTGTCCAATAAACGTGCTTGTGGAAATTGATTCTGTAAACGTTTTGTAAATTCAAACAATCTTTCATAACTTTTTCCACGATATATAAATGATTTATTCTGGAAAAATGTTGAAAACGCTTTACCATAATAGGTTACATGAAAATATTCCGGTTCAATTCGGACACTGGATATGATAAGCTTATAGAATGATGCCATTTTTTCAAACAAACTGGACAACTTTACATAATCGAATATTTCATTTTCATATTGTTGTATCAATTCTTTACAATAAACAATACCGGCTTCCCATAGTTGACCTTTGTTAAAATTTTCAATAATATCAAAATATAATTTTTCTTTCAATTCACGATGTGAATTATAGATATTATTATTATTATTAAAACGTTCATCATTATTTTGTCGTAATAATTGTTCCAATTGTTTATCCGACCATTCTAATAATATACTATGACGTGATAATGTATATGCAGCTTCATTATAATTTTCATATCGAATATGTAGATCATATAATTTATATAGATAACGAATATATAATTCTCTTCGATCAATACGTTCATAAAAATCAAGCAAATCAATTATGGCACTCATTAATGATTCATAATTATCAACATTTTTAACAACATTACGATAGATTAATAATTTTTCAATTTGTTCACCAATTTCAGCGACAAATTTTTCAAAATTTTCTTTCACATATTCTTCATGATTTTCACTTGATTCAATAAACATGTTCGTCAATAATTGTTTGAATTTTCTGTCACCTTTACCGGCAGTGATTGATAGATCCATTTGAGTGAGCATTTCATCACGAAAAATTGCCATTTTTTCCATACATAAAAACATATCGAAAAATATGACAATCGTATCTTTTCGTATGGCCAACATTGGTATTAGTGCCACTTGAAGTAATGGACCAATCAATGATGGTATAAATTCTGCTTTATGATTACCCAAATGAAACCATAATGAACGTATCAAAATGATCATCTCTAAACGCATGTCTTTATTGAAATTTTTTTCCATACGTTTTCGTTTACAAAATGTAAATGATTCCAACATTAATGATGGCTGAGTAATGAATTTAATCGAAATGAGAAACAATTGATTCCATGTATCGATACTGAAATCATCGAAATAGATTTTTTCTTTGGTAAAATTTATAATTCTTGTCATTGCTTTCAATATGACAACATTTTGCGTAATATTCATATAGGACCAATCGGTTGGATAAATCAATTTGGTTGCATGATCAAAAATTTTCAATACGGATCGTATGAATTGTTCAAATTCATGATTACATTTTAATCGATTAAAAAATTCATTATAATGATAATCAGTCATTTGATACATGATGGCAATTATGATTGACCACATTTTATGACGAAATGTATTCTCGTTTCGTTTTTGCATTTGAAATGATAAAAATGTATCAATCATTGGCTGTAATAGTATCTGTACAAAATCATTAATATCATATTTGATAATACGTAAATCTTTTTGTTGTATCAATATTTTCAATGCATCACTTATAATGGCCAAACATTTTTCCAATTTTTCATGATGAAAATTCTCACCAACAACAATCACCAATGCAGTCTGTAGATGAACATTGATTGTTGGCACTAATTTACGGCGACATTCTGGATAGCCACTATATAATTCACTTTCAACAATTTCATGTATACATGACAATTTTTGTACACTTAATTCAGTGCATGGAATATTTTTAATCAATTTGATCATTTTCATTGCCAATTTTCGTTCATCAAATATGGTCAAAACATTTTTAATGATTTTTGGAAAATATTTCAATATTCCTAATTTTACTTTTATAATATTTTCACCATTCATTTCGTCTTTGGTTTCCATTATGTCCATTAGTCGTGTGAATAATTCAAACAAATCTTCCAATGCTGTCTCGAAATCATCACGATTTTTATCACCATTCAATATGACATATAGATTTCTTGATCGAATTATGAATTTAAATATAAATTCCATACACGTTACCGTATGATAACTAGCAATAGAATCAGGATTCTCTATATAATACTTGAAACTTTCAATCAATTTCATGTGAATCAATGTTGCACTGAAATGTTTTTCAATATATTCATTAAGAATTTCTTGAAAGTGAATATATTTATCTTGTAGTAAATGTTTTATAATATAGATTAATGCATCGAATATTTGACGATCATAATCGGAACGTGTGTATGGATCCATCCATATTTCAAACAAGGCATTCAATACATCATACAGGAATTTCATTATTTCACTACCTTCTAATTTTTGTACATTCATTAAAATTTCATTCAATGAAATTTTATTCTCTTTCCAACCTAATAGGCTTAGTATTTGAATATTTTGCGTTAATTTCGTTGAACAGACAACCACCGATATGGTGAATATATCACGTGCACTATGAACATACATTGTTGATAGTTTCTGTTTATTTATTGGCTGTTGTCTTGTTAATGATTCAATCGAATTGCTGGACAAAACGTTGTTATTGTCTTCCAATTGTTTAAGGTCGTTTTTACAGGATGGATACGATAAATAGCTTTTATCATTTTCATTAATTTTTTTTGAATCTATTTTATAAATAAATGGTCGATATATTTGATTTGCCAGTGTTGTTTCATCAGCATTCATTAATTTAATGAATGCAATGGCGAATGGTTTTTCATTCTTATCTTTATTCTCATTCGATGATCGATGTTTGAACGTAAATTTCAAATGTGCATCAGGAAATTTTTCAGTCGGCAACACGATTTTAATTGTTTCCATCCATTTTGGTTTATCTTCATGATAATAAACAACACTACGATATAATGAATCCATTGTATTATGTGAATCAACGGCTAAACAATCATTAATCACCATGCCATTTTCATCAATGATTTTCACTGTTACTTCAATATTTCGTTCTGATTTTTTACTTCCTTTATGAAATTCACCGGAAACCAATGTTAGATATAAATCATTTCGTACATCTTCAGGTAGAATAATATCTCTGAAACCAATTTTTCGTGCAATATAACTGGGATATTGTGCATAATACATACGATATTTATCCAATAATTGCATTTTATAACTAGCAAACAATAAAATCGATATAATAAAACCTTGTGTTTTACACATATCTTTTGCATCTTTTGGATCACGAATCACTTTTCGTAACAATGAATCCAATGAATCACGTTCCGAATACATTACTAATGGTACGAATATTTCTTTTTTTTCTCTTTGATCCATATGATTATTGATTACATCATTCAGGCTGTAAACTTGTATGGGCGAAAAACAAATAAAAAATGAATTTCATTAATTCAATTTTCAAGAAAAAAAAACTTACCGGCAACACCACATGGTCTTTTCAATTCTTCAACATCAGGTTTTTTCATCATTGAATAGGTAGCTTTCCGCATACGATCATGATCAACAATATGCATGGTACCAACACGAATTACTTGACAAACTAAATATAATTGTTTACTATTGCTATTGCTATGAAATAAATCATTGGCACTAAAATCCTAAAAAAAAAATTTCGAATCAATTACAATAAAATAAAAATCGATAATCATCGCACATAAATCACATACCGTAAAAACAACACGAATATTATTGATTTTTTCCACTTCACGAACAAAACCAGTTTTTTCCCATTTTACGATATAATTTTCTGTAATAAATTTATGATTACCAGCATCATAGATGGCCATATTGATAATCATATCTTGTTTAATCATACAGATGAAATTCGATAATGTTATACAAAAATTGTAACAATTATTATAATTGAATCGATCATCATCATTTTCGGATTGTTTAAGAACAGTATATAATAAACTTGATTCCTGTCGTATTGAAGAATTCGAATCATTTGAATTGCGAAAAATTGAACGCAATTTTTGTGACTTTTCCCAATGATATTCAAAATATTCGATTATATTTCGTTCGAATGGATCAATAATTGATCCATCATGATCGCGAACAATTAGATCCAAATTTAAATGTCTGTCAAAATTGATTTTGAACCATTTTTGTTAATTATTTCAATCATCAATGATTTAAATACACAACAGGTTATTGCACTCACTTGTTTCCAAGATCGATTGTATCGATAATATCGATTCGAAGTTTTTTCAATTCACTTGTTGTCAATTTACCAGATTTAAGTAGCTGATATTTTTCAATCAATGGTAATATTAAATTACGAACGGTTGAATATTTTTCCATATCTCCATTCTGAGAAAACAAATTATTATTGATCCGAAAAAAGATGAGTCAAATCAAATGTCAAACTTTTACCTCGAATATTTTTTTAAGCAAATTAATCCATTCATATAGAATCAAGATGGTTTCTTGTTCGAAATTATAATTATTATTATCGCCATCCAATGATGCATCATTTTGAATTTGAATATAATTTCTTGGAAAAACACCAAGTTTATTCGGTTCATTTGTCAAACGATAACCATAATACCAATGTTGACATTCTTGTTGTACGTGTACCACTTCTCCAATGAATAATGATAAATGTTGATGTTGATGTGTATGTTTGCCATTCACTGGATAATTCCAAATTGCTAAAAAATTGACATTGGTAAAACATCATCATCATCATCATCATCATCATCACTATTGACAATTAACATACCGATGCCGATTTTATTTGCCGTTTTCCAAATCGTTTTCATTGTTCATCATCATCATTATCATCAGTAGTAAAAAAAACACAACACAACAATGAAATGATTCAAACAATGAGGATTCACATTAGAAAAAAAATGCGCTCACAAATTTGTCATCATCATCGATAAATCTCTATTGCATTCAATGGTAATTTTTTTTTGTTGCTGTTGTGTTAGCCTGTTTTTGTCATAGTGGTGGTATATATATCATCGAAATGTGTTCTTCTTGCTACTTGTTGCTGTCGTTACCATGATACGATAATTTGCTCATATTTTTCCTGATTTATTTTGTTGATTGATATAAATGCTGCTATATAATTTATTTATATGGTATCATATATCAAAAACTTTTGCTTTTTTGCTTTTTGTCATTGTCAATATGTTATTGATAATAATGTTGATAATGATAATGATAATGATAATGACTGAATGCAATGAACAGGAAATGGTTTTTCAATCATCATTAATGAATGGAAAAAAATCATTGTTTCCGTTGATTATAAATGAAATTAGAACGAAATGATTTTTTTTTTTTTTTGTTTGGTGATACTTTAGTAGCCAGATAGATTTCCTGTTATGATTAGTGTTTATTTATTTTTTTTGTTTTTGTTTTGTCTATTAGATTGCATATTTAATAAAATAAATTACAATAAACATTGAATAAATGATAATCAATATGATTCGTGATATAATATCGACAATATTTGTATCATCATAACTATGATTACTTTTAATATTATTTACAATCATTGAATTCAATCGTATCAATAGATTTCTTTTCCATTTATTCCATTGTTTTTTAATCAATTTTAATTTTTCATTCAATGATTTATCATTACAGCTGCTACTTGTTTGTGATGATGATGATAAATTATTGATCCTATCATCGTTGGTTGGTTCATTTGAACTATTCATATCCGTCATTGATGGTGATTGTGATTGTGATTGTGATATAGACGTAGTCGTAGACGACGATTGATGACGACATTTTTCTATTAAATGATCAAGAATTTTTTCATTCCATTTATGTTGAAAACTATAATATGATAATATATGACATAATATGGCCATAATTATTAAAAAACTTAGACCAAATGTCCATATACTTAATGCCGTTATGATACGTTGTTCTTCTTTCAGCGTTTGAAATGTTTGAAATTTAATTATAATCAATATTATAATCGATAATGATATTCTGATGATAATATTTTGTATCGATATCCAAAATATTGATATTGAAAGAATTAATAGAAATATATGTAAAACATAAATATTCAGTATATAATCACCAATCTGTCGATTAAGCATAAAATCTATACGCATTATTGAATGTTCATTGCCACTTTCATCTATATATATAATAATAAAAAAAAAGAAAGAAAGAAAGAGAAAAGCGTGGGTGGAAAAAATATCAAATTACCTAAAAAAAAAAAAAAAATGAACAAAAACAAAAATCTACAATTACCCAATTCAATAATTGGTTCATTGACGATTGATGTTTGCAGCTGTTGTAAATAGAATTGTCCACTATGATATTCATTATGATTCCATTTGACATTATCCCATTCATAGATCAATGTTCGTTTATCATAAAGTGCTAAAGATTGTGTGTGTGTGTATGAAATAAATATACAAAAATAAAAAAAAAACGTAAGCACAATTTTCAATCGATCAATTGTGAAAATACAAACTGACTGACCATTGGTTATATGAAATGTACATTCAATTTTATCAAATGGAAACATACGGCTATCATCACGATGACATTCATATATAGGAATGTTGACACGCATCTTTAATGATATCCAAACAAATGCTGTCGTTTCATTTGTATTGATGAAAATGTTTTCAACCAATTTTTCTTGTTCAATAATTTTTTGCAACGTTTGTTTTGGTTTATCAAACAATGCATTTGTTACATGTGCATTATTCCTAATGTGGCTGATTGGATGCCATATTTTTGTTAGATATTTTCCATCAAGCACAAAATTTTCAATCATTTTTCGACGTTTTTGACCACCGATTCCATCAACAGTATCATAATCATCATCATCATAATAGTCTTCATCTTTTTTATCGCCATTTTGTTTTTGATTATCATTATTATTTTTTCTACGCATTCTTAACCGTTTATCCTTCCAACGTTCTTTCAATTGCATATCCAATACAATAACATTTTCCAATTTATCAATAGTTGTATCCAATATTGTTAAATTAACGGCTATTTTGATCGGTTTATAACGGCTAGATTTTGGTGGCTTTTTGAATCATAGCTATCAGGCAAACGAAATGTTTCATGCTTCGATGATGATGATGATGAATCGTCCGATTCATTTATTATTAATTTTTGGCCAAAACATCTTTCGGTTTGTTGTTGTTGTTGTTGTTGTTATTGGTCGTGGTCGTGGTCGTCGTTGTTGTTATTGTTGACGATGTGCCATTTTTATTCAATGTCGGTGACGATGCCTGAAGCTGTTGCAATTGTTGTCTAGTCAATATATTCAATTCTCGAAATAATGCATCAAAATTGGTATTCTGATCTGGTTGACTTTTAACATTGATGGTTATGGTTATTAGTATTATCACAACAACAATCAAAATGATGATGTTCGATGATTTTTGATAATAAATCATTATATATTATATATTCAAACCAACAAACAACTCGATGAAAAAACGAACAACACACACACACAACATACAAAAACATCTGATTCACATTCAGAATGAAAGTGAATTTTTTTTTTTTTTGATTATTTGACTATGAGAAACGCGAAAAAACAAGAAAAATGAGAGAGAGAGAAAAAAAAATATCAAGGATTTCGTTGTTGTTGATCAACTGCATGATCGAATTTCAGATCCATTTTTTTTTTGGCGTCATGCATGGCAAATTTATAGAATGTTTTTGTGTGTGTGTGTTTGGACAACAGAAAACTAAACTAAATTTTTAAATTTTTTCGTAGAAAAAAACAACGGTGAAATTAATCCTTTAAAATAATTTTTTTTGGTTGCCGACTGTGTGTTTTTGGCTGGCGGATATGTGTTTATGGTTATGATTGATATGAATTTTGTTATAGCAAAATGGAGAAAAAAAAATGGAACAAGAAAAAAAAACACAAAATTCGCCAAGGTCATTTAGCTGCTGAACACAAAAAAAAACGGAAATTGCATTATTGTGGGACAATTTTTTTTTCTCTTGTCGTTGAATATAATGATATGATATGATTTAAATCGATGGCGAGAGAAAAAGAATCTTGGATTTTTTATTTTTTTTTTTGCTTTTCTGGTTGCAAGAATTTCAATTTAATAATAAAATGAGGATTTTTGAACTTGTTTTTTTTTACAAATTTGCACTTGTCAATTGTGTGTGTGTGTGTATCTGTGTATCTGTGTTTGTGTATTGTGTACATGGTACAAAAACATTTTCAAATGTTCCAAATGGAAAATATAAGGGACGACGGTGGGGGTTGGATATGGGAAAATTTAACAACAAACAAAGAGAATTGAAGAATGAATCATTTTATATCACAGTGATGTATGGATGGAGAGAGAGAAAGAGATTGAGAATGAGAAATAGAGCGGGAACTGAGAATAAGGAACAATCCATCCGGCAAAAGCATCAAGGAATCCAGCTTTTTTCATTTCTTTCTCTCTTTATCTCTTGTTATCTCGTTGAAATCATGTAGCGGCTGCTTCTGCTGTTGTTATTTGACTTGAAAATCTTTAGAAAATGAAATGAAATTGAATCAATTTTCTATCTTTCTCTCTCTCTCTCTGATCATATCGAGAAATTGGATTGAAAATGAAAATTTTGATGGATAAAATGTCAGTCTGTATGTGTGTTGAAATTATTCAAAAAATCAAATGTCAAACTGTTTTGTCTACCACCTGATTGTTTGGCCTCAATCAACCAAAAAACCAGCCATATCCAAATCAATTACTGTCTCTCTTTGAATTTAGGTTTTTTTTGTCTTGTTTAAATTTTTAAACTAAGTCATTTTCTTGTCTCTCCATGTGTGTTTTGTGTGTGTGTGTGTGTGTGTGTGGGTGGATGTGGTTGGATTTCAAAACGAGACATTATTTTGAAACAATGACATGAGGTATTAAAATCACTTGTCTTGTCTTTGTAGTTGTTGTTGTTGAATGTGATTTATTCAATTGGATAATAATACAATTTTTTGTGAAGAAGAAAAAATTATTCATAAAGATAACTTTGGATATATATTTTTTTGGCCATAGAAAACAAAACAAGAACATTTTTGGTTTACTTTTCCAGAATTATTTACATTTTTTTTAAGTAAATAGGATTATTATATTATGCCTGATGAAATGAAATGAAATCATGTTGATGATGATTGTTGTTGTTGTTGTTGTTGTTGTTGTTGTTGTTGTTGTTGTTGTTGATTTTGATGTTGATGATGACTATGATGATGATTGTATACATAATTTCCATCCATCTCTTCTCCATTATTCTTGTTATTATTCTTTTCAGCCAAATGCATTAATTCATTATTATTGTTGTTGTTGTTGTTGTTGTTACCGTTATTATTCAAAATATTGTTACGATGATGATGATGATGATGATGAAAGTTTTCATTAATTTCATAATCGGAAAGATTAATCTAAATTTAGACAACAACAACAACAACAACAACAATAATAATAATAATAATAATAATAATAATAATAATAACAATAAAATGACAATAACAACATAAATATGAATCATGTGATTATAAAAAAAAATCAACAAGCTAATGAAATGTGTGAAGAATTTGTGTGAAAAAAAATTTATCAAATTCAATGAATAAAATGAAAAAAAAAACAAAGAAAAAAAACATGCAACAAAACAAAATAAGGAATTATTCTGTATTCTTGTGTGTTTATAAATCTGTGCGAGTGAGGTTTTTTTTTTCATTTATTTGCAACAACACTTACCGATATTTCTGTACCATGATGTGATGTAATCCGTTGATTATTATTATTACTGGTATATCCATGTACAAGTAAGAATTGATTCCATTTTTTCTTGACAACGGTCAAAACCTATGATGATTATCACATCATTAGTATATATTGGGTGATAAAAAAAATCAATCAATCAATCAACATACCTCTCCATTAAAATAACAGAATAAAATTGATACACAAAAACCCTGTAATGATAAAACGATGGCGGAAAATATTTCATATGCACGTGCTGCTGAATCATTTGTTTCCGGACGAAATGGTGTCAATATAAAATGTAGGCCTAATAACGGAATCAATATCAAAGTTGCACGAACTGCTTTCCTATTTTTATTCGTTGACAATTGACAAAAGAAACATGATGATTAGATATAGTCATCTATTGATAGAGATATAGAGAGGCTAACCTTGTATGATGTGCATCGGCCGTGTTGACAGCTTGTAATTTCGTAACAAGAACACGAACAATATTGATAAGAAAAAAAGTATTCAACTATGAAACAGTGGCAACAACAACAAAAACAAAAATAATGATTAGATCCAAGAGAAAATAAAAACAAACAACAACGGGAATTGAGTTGAATTGCTTGCTCACCACAAATGATATAATGACCGGAATATTTAATATCCATAAATATGGACTTTCATCAATCCAGCAGCTAATTTAATATTACAAAACAAAACAAAACAAAAAAAATTTGGAATAAAATTATTTTTCTGGTTAGTGATCCGTATTTCAGTATTAACTTACTTTTTTGTATCGGAAGAAAATGCACGAAATGTTGCATATGCCGATACAAATATGATCGGTATTGCCCAACCAATCATGTAGAACCATTTAAGAATTTTTTCCTCCGAAACAAATGCAATCACCAATATGGTATGTAAATAAAGTCCTTCGCAAAACATCCAAAAATAATTACAGACAAGAAAATAATGTAGAACAACATGTAATGCTTGACATGGAAACTATTTATGTTGGTATGTGTGCCATTTACATACACACACACACACACACATATTTGGACGTGTGAAAGAAGAAAAAAAAACGAAAAAAAACAAGACAAGAATTTAATTAGTTGAATTGATTTTATTCATTCACCAAAGTAAAAAGAAAGAAAATCCATCAAGAATGTTTCATTGTTGTTGTTGTTGTTTGTTGTTCATTTTATCGCATAAATCATCCAGATGATGATGATGATGATCATCATCATTAGTGATGATTGAAAAAAAATTTTTTTCTTCTTCTCATTCATCAATCAATTGATCATTTGTTGTTGTCGCTGCTGTTGTTGCTGATTTTGCTTCATTTTAATATATTTAAACTGGACACAAACCAAACAGCTGATTTGATTAAATTTTTATGAATTTTTCTCTGTGTGTGTGTGTATGTGCATGTCTCTGTTCGTTCATTTTAGTTCATCAATCAAGTATAAAAGTTAGTTAGTCCATACAAGGAATACAATACTTACACCATTTTCAAATAAAATATTTCCATCCCTGATCACCAGATACCAAACGATCCTAATTTTTTATTTTATTTAACGACAAAAAAAATGATAATGATTATGGTGATAATCACAATTATATAATGTCAAAAATAGGCAACAAAAACGGAAAAAAAAATTTCGAAAAAAAAACTCAAACTATCAAAATGATAATCCTCAGTCAAGGATAAAGATTTTTTTTTTTGATTTTGCTTGATTTTTCAAAAAAAAAAAAAAAAATAAACTGGAAAAATCTCTGTTTTCTGTATAATTAACTTGGTATACTTGCTACTGTTTGTGTGAGTGTTTACAATAAATTTTTTTTCAGTTATAATTCAGAGTAAATGACGCACTTTAATAAATATATATATATAAAGTATATTTCTCTCTCTCTCTCTCTCTCTCTCTGGTACTTTATTTCGATTTGATGATAAATATGTTGATTTCGATTCTGGAAATCATATATATATATATATATACAGAAACTAAATCGAGTTTACAAATCCAAAACAAAACAAAAAAAAATTTGGGAAAATGGAAAAAAAATTGTGCAGTCAATCAAAAGATAACAACAACAACAACAATAACTTACCACATGAAATTGTTGATGATAAAACTTACAAAAAGATTTTTATGTATACGTATTCGTGTCTGTGATGATAATGTTCTGCGTAACGAAAAAGGAAAATGAAAATACGTTTGGTTTGTTTGTTCGATTAATTTTTTTTTTTGTTTCCATCCGATTTGTGTTCAATTTTATGCGGGCATAACAAGAATGAATGTTTTTCCATGTTAAACAGGGACATTATTTATTTTATATTACCAAAAAAAAAACACACCGAGGATAAAAATAGCAAACGAGAGACAAAATTCCGTTTTTTTTTCATACATGTATAAAAAAAAAGAAAGAAAAAGAAATTCGAGAGAGAGTAAAAACTTTGAACAGTGGGCAACGAAAAAAAATTGTCGATAAAGTTCATGAACAATATATACTTACTTGAATGAAACAAAAATTGTAAGTGAAATTAGCAATGCAACCAATGATATTGAATAGCCAACAATGTGTAATTTGATGATCATGTTGCGAAACTAAATTCATTTTTTGTCGTCGTCGTCGATGATGCGGATGATGTTTTTTGTAAATTGCAATCGAAAAAAAGAAAATAAAATTGGTAAATAATACAAGTATACACTACACGGTGAAAAATTAAAATTAAAACTAAAACTAAAAAAAAAATGCATCATTTTCTGGCCCATTGAAAAGAATTTTTTCCTTTCTTCACTTTTATATATATATATATACAGCTTCCGATGACATGAACATTTTAATGCCATTTCGTTATATGGGAAAAATTTTAAAAGAACGACTTTTTTTTAAGCTCATTATAAGCTATATTATAAGCAGCTTGAAAATGGCCGGGTAATTTTTCTTTTTGTTTTTGTTTTCCCTCAAAGTAAGTAACAAAAAAAAAATGGACACTGATATTGTGTGTGGTTGTTGCTTACATGAAAATCCGGAATATCAACACATGATGTATAATTAGTCCATGGTACATGTGTTTCATGATGTACACGCCATTTTCCTTCTTTTGTACATGTTTTATGTGCTTGATCTAGGATTATCAAGAAGAATTTTTTTTGTTTGTTTGTTTGTTTTTTTTGCCCAGAAGAAAATCCAAAAAAAAAAAATTTTTTTTATTAAGTTATCGTTATTATTAATAAAAGAAATCAAAATTTAAAAAAACAACAACAACAACAAACTTTGTGGATTGAATCCATATACAAAATCTGGACAAGAAAAATATGATACTTCACCAGCTGGAGTATCATTGAAACAGGTCCAACCATCGAATGTACGTTCACAGAATGGTTTGGCCACTTTTGAAATGAAAAAAAATTTTTTTTTTAAATTAAAAAATCACAAACAAAAACAAAAAACAAACAACAAACAGCACAAACACATACATTGATTTGATGGTGGCAATGACAGTACATTATCGATACAATCAATAAATGCCTGTTCACTTTCTTTATTCTGTGTAAATTTGCTATGTATCATACGTTCACGGATTTCGAAAATTTTCTGCAATTGATTTGTGGTCAACAAAAACTTGATTGTTTGATGAAGATAAAAATAAAATAGAAGAGAGAGAGAGAGAGAGAGAGAAAAAAAATTTTCATTTAATCAAATCTGATTATTTCGAAATTTCATTTCATACCAATTTATCATTATCTAGGCCACATGTTGAATAATTTGCACTGGATTCCCAGATTCCATCATCATTACAATATCTGGAAACTTTTGCTGCTGCTACTGCTGATGATGATGATGAATGATGATTATGGTGATGTTGTTGTTGTTGTTGTTGTTGTTGACGTGGATGATGATTGTGATGAGCAAAATCATTTTGATCGGACGACAATGTCCAATCATTGTTTTGATGATGATTTTCATTGGTTTCATCTGAAATTGAATTACCACCACCACCATCAACAACACTGAAAGCAGTACGTTCATGAAGATTTTTCAATATTTCATAACAGAATATATAATGAACATTTGACCGTTTAGTTTCCGGCCACATTGTTATACCATCACAATCGGCTGGACAATTTGTTGTTGTTGTTGTTGTTGCGGTGGATTCAATTTCAAAATTGTTGTCGGTTTCACTATTTCTTTTACTATTGTTATTTATTGTTGTTGTTGTCGTCGTCATAATTTTTTCATCATTTATCTCATCATCATCAGCATTGTTTATTGATAATTTTCTTAACTCGGTCATTATGAGTCCAAAACGGCAGTCAAAATATTCATTAAAAAAATTGGAAGGTTTCAGATAATAATAAGAATGATGATGATGTTGATGTTGATGATGATGATTATGATTTTGATGATGATGATCAATAGTTGTTGTTGTCGTTATCAATGAATTGGTTATATGAAAATGAAAGCTGCTACAAAATAACAATATCAAAATGATCAAGTTATGAAACGACAACGTTTTATTGTGATGATTATGATAATTACAATGATGATGATGATGATGATGATGATGGCGTTGATGCACATCAATACATTTATGTTTTACATATTTCCAATGATGATGATAAATTTGACTATGATGAATTTTTTGAATTTTATTTCTATTTCTATTATTATCGTTAATGATGATTTTCATGATTATTAGATGATGATAAAAATATCCAAACATTGCTTGTTTGTTTTTCTTCTACATTAAATTATTACATATTACTAAAGTTGAAAGAAAGAAAAGAAAAAAACCATGGAAAAACGAAAAAAAAAAAAATATGGTTATCATTTTGTGAGTAAAAAAAAAGAAAAGAAAAAATCATAAAGACGATCGTCTTTGATCGATGACAGCCTGTTATGACGGAAAATTTAGTTTTCGTTTTCATTTTTTGTTTTGTTTTATTTACCAAAAAAAAATCAAGAACAAAAGAAAAAATTTAGACGGGTACCAGCCGCCTTTGAATTGAGTTTTTTTTCATTATTTAGGCAAATAATAATGTTATATGGAAACCTTTATTTGTATGTGTGTGCGTCTACGACTTATATTTCGTGACTTATTTGATATTTTTGAATTTTGATGAGAAAAAGAAATAAATATGCACATCAAAAAAAAGAAAGAAAAAGAAGAAGAAGAAAAAAGGGTTAGACATGACGTATTAATACAATTTTTACTGTTTTTCTTTTCTTTTCTTTTTTTTTGATTGTAAATGTTAATGTCATCATTATCCGCCAGCAGCTGGCTGATATTTATTGTTGTTGTTGTTGTTGTTTGATATTATAATAATTTTATCCATCGTCAAAATCATCATTTTGTGTGTTGACAAACCAAAACGAAGAATCGTGAAAATTATTCTGAATGAATTTGACATGCAGACACATAAATAATACACAAATGTTTAATGATTTGGGTAATGAAAAACGAAAAAAAAATGCGGTGGAACAGGAAAAAAAATTCAATTTTAGCTACTGCTGCTGCTGCTGCTGCTGCACATTAACATAAAATTGATTTGTGTGGATTCTTAATCATTCGAATAGAAAATATTTGCAGCGATCAAATTGCTTTCACATAAAAGTCAAATATAAAAAAAGAACGTTTTTCGGTTATTATTATGTGATGGAATGGGATGGCATGGCATGGAATGGAATGGCAAAAAAAAATCTGATTGATTAAGCTAAATTATAGATTTTTTTTTTTTTTTGGTTCTGAACAAATCCAGAATATAAAACGACTGTAAAGTGTGTGTGTGTGTGTGTGTGTGGTAATCAATTTTTTTTCTGCTTCTTATGAACACTCAGTTCACTTAAATTTGTAGCCGAATCCTTCCCAAATAAAAAAAGTATTGGAAAAAAAAGAAGCAACGTAATGATTGCCCATTTGACATCCAATATTAACAGTTTGTTTGTTTGTTTGCTTTTTTTTCGATCGAAAATCATTTTTATTCTTCTTTTTTTTCTTGTTTCAGAATCGTTTTTCATCATCATCATCATCACCAGCTCTCATCTAATGTAATAACGATGATGATGATGATGATAATAATAATAAAATAAGAAAATGAAAAAAAAATGAAGAAGAAAACAACACAACAACAGAGAAAAAAAAAAATAAAAGCCATGAATCCTGAGAAATGAAAGAAAAAAAAAAACCCAATATGATTTATTGACATGACATTATCCATTATAATCAAAATCATTATACTAAGAAGTAGTAGATCAAATCATCATTTACCCAATGGAGTAGTAGATTTTTTTTGTTTGTTTCGTTTTTCGGAATAAGATTTTTTTTTGTTCATTGAATTTATATACGAATAAAATACATATGATATCAACATTTATAAAGATTGGACCATATGATGTAGTGAGGAAGAAAAAAAAAAAGTAACAAAAGTAAAAAACTGGTACATCATGCACACACACACACACACACACACACACACGATAGCACATCTCATTTTAATTTTAAATTCAATGATGATGATGATTTCAAACAAACCAAAACATTCATAGAATCAGTATATTCAGATTCTGATTATAATAATAACGATGATGATGAAAGATTGCGAAAAGTGGATGTGAATGTGAACGAATGAAACTATTCAAAAGTTTAAGAAATAAAAATAGAACCAAATGTTTGTTTGTTTGTTTGTTTGTCTGTATTTTTTTTTCTCTCTGTAAATTTAATTTCAATAAAATTAAAGTGATGGATCAGAAATAAGCAGCCAAAAAAAAATGAAACACCAGGCCCAATGGTATGTGCCACACAACTGAAATGTTAGCTTCACTGTCGTAATTTCTGATTTCATAATAGCCATGTTGTTGTTGTTGTTGGTGAATTTTTTTCTTTTCATTCATTCATTCGCATACAAAATACATCAATTAAAATCAACGAGAAAAAATTTTTTTAATTCCACGTTAAGCTAGACAAATTGGCTGTAATTCTCGTCATTTTTTTTTGTTTTGAGATGCGGAAAAAAAATGAAAATGACGTCCAATCATAATAACAATAATGATGATGATGATGATGATGATTATTCAAGTTAAAACAAAAACAAAACAGATTTTCTATTGAAGAATTTTGATAATTTCGAATAAGGATTTGCCATTGTCGCTGTTTTTGTGCACACACACACGCACACACACACTATGAATTTGAATTTAACACTAGCAATGATGATGATGATGAGTTGTATGATGATTAATATTTTATGGTTATTCACAATGATGATAATTTTCCATCATCATAATCATTATATATCATAAAATGTGTGTATGTGTCAGTGTGTGTGTGTGTGTGTGTGTGTAAACTGAATTTATTTTTTATTATCATCAAAACATGCACACACGAAACGAAACGAAAATTCATTTTTATTATTTATTCCCGGATCCAGAAAGAAGAAGAAGAAGAAGAAGAAAAAGAATGAAAATAAATTTCCGACATTATGAATTGAGATTTATTTTCCTTTCCTTTGATGTACATTATATATTGTTGGACATTTTTATTGTATTTCACATGTTGTCGCGCTGTGTGTGTGTGTGTGTTTGTGACATGGCCAACGACGACAACGACGACAACGACAACAAAAAAATAATCTTCAGACCGGTATATTTGACATGCATTGCTTTATTGGCCACAATTATTGTCTCTTGTAGGTTTTTTTTACAATGAATTTTTTTCTTTTCATTTTATTTCCACAGAAATCATCATCATCATCATCATCATCATCATCATTAGTTATGTAGAGTTATGTAATTAGCCAAGAAGAAGAAGAAGAAGAAAAGGAAAAAAACTCAAGTCGGTAATTGCACTCACACACACACACACATTTACTTTGAGTTTAGAATGAAATCAAATTACTACGAAATAAAATATACTTTCATGGTCCGATAATAGAAAAGAAAAGTAAAAAAAAAAATGGAAAGCAAATGGCATCAATTAATTTTTCATTTCATTTTTTTTCTGGTATTTCACATAATGGTTGATCAGATGTTAATGATGATGTTCTCACATTCTCATCTCATTCTTGGAACAATAAATTGTGAAAAAAAGACCCAATACAACTCTATATGCACTATTAACGTCGTCATTAGATTGTTGCAAAAAAAAAACTTTCACATCTTTTTTTTTCTTCTCCTACCTATGTGCCAATTTCATGCACACACGCACACAGAAAAAGTCATTTGAAATCACCCAAAAAAAAAAGTTATTATCGTATCGAATATTTAGCCAGATAAACGAATGAAAGAAAAGAAAAAGAAAAAGAAATTTACCTGAAAATGGATGTTTGAATTCAATAATATATAGTAACAATAATTCAAAAAATGAAAAAAAAACGATAAAAACAACGGCAAACAGCAAGGTTAATTTGCTGACGTAGGACAAATTTAAAGAAAAAAAATTCCTCATCAATATATATGTCTGATCATGATTTTCTTTTTGTTGTGGGCATTTGAAATGTGATAAGAAATTACAAAAAAAAAAAAAAATTCGATTTCACCATTAACACGCTGTCTAATTAATTTTTTTTCATTTCAATTTGATCATCATCATCATCATCATCATACATGCATAATTCCAATCAATATGTTGATGATCAAAGCAGCAGTAGTAGTAGTAGTATACTATAGTATCAACTGCAACTGTCATCGAATGAATGTTGAATATTTTACGATGAAAAACAGCAACAACAACAACAACAACAACAAAAAACGAAACAAAATGTTGATGAAAATATTCTTCATCATCATCATCATCATCATCAACAAAATTTATGTAATTTATTCATATGGAAGATATGAAAATTACAAAATTTTTTTTTCCTTGGCTCATGTGTGTGTGTGTGTGTGTGTGTGTGTGTGTGTGCGTTTTTCAAATGACTTTCATTATAGATGAATGATAACCCGGCAAAATGTCATTATTTTTTAAATTGGAATATTTTGCTACAATAAACAAAAACGGACGAACGAAAAAACTTGTTAAAATTTTTCATTTCATGATTATGTTTTTTTTGTTATTCGGGTTTGAATACATTTAAATGTATTCAAATGATAATGATATTTTTAAACATTTTTGTTTTGTTTTTATTTTCACACAGACAGCCGGATAAAAATTCATTTCATTTCATTGTAATCAACATCTAAATGATCACTGTTTTTTTTTTGCTTGCGAATATTCTACTGAAATTCCGAGTTCTGAGAACAAAAAAAAACACGCCAAATTATTGGTATTTATATATTTGGCCGATGTATACGTTGTTACTTTCTTGTGCATCAAAATATCAATGTTTTCTTTATTTTTCTCTCCACAATTTATCTTTTTTCTTCCTCTCTTCAACATCGATGAATGTCATTTTTAATCCTAGGTAATTAATAATAAATTACATTCTTCTTCGTCGTCGCTTTTTTTAGAGTTTATTTTGAATATAAAAAAAAAATTGTGTGTGTGTGTGTGTGTGTGCGGCTTGGAACAACAAGAAGCTCGAAAAAAAAATGATGAAGATGATGAAGATCAAAGAATGAAACGAAAAAAAAAGATGACTGAATGATAAAAAATTTATAAGTAAACATGGACCTTGTTGTCTTGTAAATATCAAATGTTGTTGTTGTTGTTGTTGTCGATGTTGTTGTTGTTATTAGGTTAGGTTGATTTACTACTTCAATGATGACGATTATTGTTGACAAATGACGACCGATTGTTATTCTTTTACTTTTGTCATCATATGACAATTATATCGTGTGATGAGAAAAATTCAATAATAATAAACTTGATGAAAATGTCACAAACTTTGGTTGTGTGTGTGTGTGTGTGTGTGTAAATCAAAACAAAAATGAAAAATCAATTTCAACTATACTACTATGGCAGGAAATTTAAATCAATTTTTTTTTATTTAATCACATTGAATTGTGCAATGTAATAAAAATCACACACACACACACACACACACACACATTATGTTGTTTTTGGGTTTATCTTTTTTCTCACTGTGAATATTTTAGTAGTAGTAGCAACGCGCGTGTGAGTGTGTGTGTGTTTCAAATCATTTTTGATTTTTTGGCTATTTCGAATGTTCATCTCATCTGATAGTATAGAAATGAAGCGACTTTTTTTTTTTTTTTTGTGTTATCTCAAAACTCACGTCCGTAATTTTTTTTTTCTGCCTTTCAATCTTTATGTGTGTGTGTGTGTCGGTGTGTCAGAAACACATATAACGACGTCAACAACAATTGTCATGGATCTTGGATTCGATTTTTGTTTTGTTTTGCCGGCACTTTGTAACTGTTTAATCTAGTGGTTTTTTTGCCAGACATTGATACAAATGGCCACAACATCCACAAGATTTTTATTGGCTTCGCAAATAAATAATGGAAAAAAAAGAATTTGGATGATGATGAAGAACGAAAAGGAAAGAAAATTTTTTTTTTTATGATCATCATCGACGAAAAAAAAACTTGCCATTTTTAAGATGAATTTATTCAGTATTTATCAGTACACCCATATGGCAACAAAGCCATTCAATGTCATCAAATATATGTGATTTAGGTATGAGATGCGGAGAGCAAAAAAAAAAAAACAAAAAGAAAATGTCAAATCCACATCAAACAGGATGAGTGGTGATCAAAATAAAATGAAAAAAAAATATAACTGTTGCTTATATATTATTCACCGTTCAAATGTTAAATAGCTTCATTTGTTTTTTTTTCTTCCTGAACGGAAATGAATGTGTCATGTTCACACATTATTAATAAAATAAATGTTTGTGATTGATAATTCAATTCAATTCATTTCATTCATTCATTTCATTCATGTAGTCAATCAATCAATCAATCAATCAATTTGAATGTTTTGTTGTTTTTGTTGTTATTTTTTTTTCTCTGTCTTTTTATTTATTTCGCGAAAATGACAGTTGATGATTTGTTTAAATTAAATTAAATTACATTGGATATCATGATGACACAAACACTTGGATAAAGTTTCTGTGTGTGTGTGTGTGTGTGTGTGGTTTTTTCATAAAGATTCACTTTCACTTTACTTTGAAGACAATTAATTCTGAATGAACATAGAAAAAAAATTGCTGCAGCTGATCACAATGATTTTGGCTGCAGTTCAAGTTGTTGGATTTTGATTGAAAAAAAAACGAAACCAATCATGGAATGCGTGTGTAAATATCACAGAAGCAAAACAAAAATGAAGAAAAAAAACTCTCTGAGAGAAAAAAATTATTTGATTTTTTTTTTTTTTTTTGGAATGTTTGTTTTTGCAGCTTGTCCAGATGATATTCGTGATAAGATCGAAGAAATCGGATCTGATTTTTGTAAAAAAAAACTCATTCGATGAGTACGATGTTTTTGATGTGTGTGTGTGTGACAACAAATGCTGATGTAATGAATTTTTAGTTGTGATAGAAAAAAATGAATGAATGAATGACTGAATGATGGATTCAATTTGATGGATAAACTAAAATTGAAAGTGAGAGTAAGAGATAGAGTGACTACGTGTTTTTTTTTTTTGATGGACAAACGAGATCAACAAAAAAGTAAGAAAATGATAAAGTCGAAATGTAATATATTTATTTTAACTTCATCAAATATACACACACATTTGGACATTTTTTTTTTCATTTCATTTGATTCTGATCGTATATATGTGTGCGTGTGTGTGTATAAGTATGTGTTTATATAATGGTCAAACAAGTTTCATTTTCAGATGATTTTTTTTTTTACAAATATAAACCATCACACATGAACAGACATATAGTGATGATGTTGTGGTACACACACACACACACAAATTGAATGTAATTGAATTGAATTAAACTTGAATGATGATGATGATGATGGTGATCAGAATGATTGATTCTGCGTTCAAATGAAAAAAAAAATTGATTATTGAGAATTATGCCATCGTTTTGTTGTTGTTGTTGTTGTTGTTGTTATTGGTGATGATGGTGTTGCCAAAAAGAATCTTAATCATTTTCTTTCGTTTATTTTTTATTATGGATTAAAATATGATAAAGAATTAACATTAAATGATGGTCGTATTTGGCGTCATCAGAAAGAAAAAAAAATTGTCGTCGACGTCGTCGTCGTCATCATCGTCATCGTCGTTATCAACAATTTGAAATATGACTGTGAATGTGTCATTGGAATTGGAAATCCTTAACATTGAACACATACACACACACACATGCATACAATATATAATTGATTAATTAGTTTGAAATTTTTTTTTTTTTTTTTTTTTTTGATTCAAAAAGTGAGAGTGAGTTAGTGAGTGAATGAGTGAGTGGATAGGATAAGATTTCATTTAATGAAACGGACATCATCAATCTGTCTATTTGAAATTGACGACAACGATAAAAAATGACGACGATGACGGTGATTAACAGTGGACGTAAGAAAGAAAAATTCCTCTTTTTTTTAATGCTCATTTACTTTGCTAAAAATAATCTTCTGAATACGTGATATTTTCTCACTTTTGTTGTTGTTGCTGTTACTTCAATTGATAATCTTTCTCTTTCGTATGTTTATTAGTTCTTAAAGTTTGACCATTCGACCTATCTTGTGTATGGAAAAAATCATCTAGAATTCACGTGGATTTACAGTAGTAGCAGCAGAAGCAGCAGCAATGAAAAAGCTCGTAACTTTTTCTCTCAATTTTTTTTTCTTCAATCAAACTACATTTATATAGACACACACACACACACACACAAAAACACACAAATGCAGAATAAACTAATGAAATTAAGAAAACACATAAATGATTAAGAATTTTTATTTTTCCCTTCCATTTTTATCAATATTTGTTGTTTGACAAGAACAAAAAAAAAGGAAAAAAACCAAAAACGAAAAACGAAAATATCTATTTACCAATATATATAGGTGTGTGCCAGATCAATAATACAAACAAACTATATTTCTGTGCATGATGAAAAAATTCTTCATTTACTGATGATAATGATGATGATGATGATGATTTTAATTAACACAAAAAAAAAAATAAAATTTTTCTGTGACATGAGAAATGTGGGAATTGAATTTTTTTTTTGAATTTTAAAATATTTTCTCACAAACAATTGAATGTGTTTTGGCGCGTGTCAAAATATACACAAACACACACAGAGAGAGAAATCAAATGGTGGTATATAATCAAACGTTGCTGCTGTTGTTGCACATTTGAAATACAGTGAAGAACTGAATGCTTTAATGGTAAAGCAAAAGAAAGAAAAAGATGACGATGATTATTTGGAATTGAATCTTCACAAGCCAAAAAATTTTATTTCATCTTGATTCTGACTATCTTGGTTGCTGCTTCTGTTGCTGTCGGTATATATATATGAATGAATGAATTATATGGAGTGTGTAAAAAAAAATTTTTTCTTTCTTTTGCTACTACCATTTTTTTTTTGCTGTCGATATTTGTGTGCAGTGTTGCTGTTTAGTGTTTGATAAAAACCGTGTATTTTTTTTTGTTTTGTTTTTGTTTGCTTACTTGAAATATAATATTGATATTGATGTAGCGTTTGGCCAAAAAGAAAGAAATAAATTGCAGCTCTATAGATAAAACTGGTAGGAAAAGAGAGAGAGAGAGAGAGAAAAGGGCCATAATTTATAGTAGCCATTTACTTTTGCACTATTTTTTTTTCTCATCGTTTACATTTTCAATTCAATTCTGGAATTGACTGTCCATGAATAATATCCCAAAAAAAATATAGACCAAAAGAGCTAGCGCTAGTTAGAGAAAAAAAAGTTTGAATTCTTGTTGAAAAGAATAAATGAATGGATGAATGAATGAATGAATGAAAAAACGGTGGAAAAAAATTTAAAAATTTTTTTCCCGTTACAAACAAACAAACGGAAAAACAAAATGTAGATTTGTTGGACAATTCTAATTGTTGTTGTTGTAGTTGGTTGATATTGTTGCAAAATGCAGAATTCATATTCGTTCATTCATTCATTCATTCATCAACCACAAGAGATGAAAAAAAAAATTTTTTTCTCGATGATAACGAAAACCATTAGTTTTTTTTTTTTTTTTGATAAGAAATTTGGAGAAAGAGAAAAAGGTGTGTGCCCATTTCATTTCATTTTGTTTGTTTTTTGTGTTGTTGTTGTTAATGTTTATTATTACAGCCACAACAATATTTGTTGTAATGTAATGTTTACACATTTGAATTTGCAAAAAAAACAGTGAAGAAGAAAAAGAATTGACATTCATTTGTCATAATAATAATGATATAATTCATATCATTCATCATCATCATCATCATTTTTTTTGTTTTATCAGTCAAAACAAAAAACGAGACCATTCATTTTATTCCTGGTTACCACTAGATGTCCACTAGATGTTATAATGTTTTTATTTTTCTTGGATTAATCAACATTTTGTTTTGTTTTTTTCATTTTGCAAAACAATTGGTTTTTGGTTCAATTGTGTCAAAAGCATTTGTCATTCATTCATTCATTCATTCATTCATTGTCGATATCTCTTCTTCTCTTTTTTTTATTATTTGGTGTGTGATAGTTCCGGCCATTTAGATATCAAAAAAAAAAAAAAACAACAACAACAGCAACAGTAAATACAGCCTATACAATTGAATTGATTTGGAATAATAAAAAAAATTCTGTCCCCTCTATTATGATGATGAATATTCCAAGAATATCATCATCATCATCATCATAAAGAATGATGAATCCAATAAAGAAAAAAAAATTGTCAATTCATTCCATTCCCATTCCATTCATATTTATTAATCGTCTTAGACGACATTATCATCATCGTCATCATAGAATAATAAACAATATCGTTGTCAATTCAATTCTTATTTATAATAAGAATATTCTTATTATTGTTCTTTTTTTTCACAGTTCAAGATTGATAGATAGACAATCGAAGAGAAATATTTGCTGTTTATCAACATTTTTTTTTTTTTGAACAACAACAATCGACAAAAAAACGATGACATAGATGATATTAAGTACAATTTTATTTTGCAAATTGGTGATCAAATTCTTTACTTTTTTCCATCATTCATTCATATATTAAATGATTGAATGATTCTGTCTGTCAACAACATACACACACATACACACAAAGTTTTTTTTTTTTATCGGCATTTGTCAAAACCAAAGAATATTTTCTGTCACATAAGCATGCTCGTCGTCTTCGTAGTCGTCGTCAGCAAATTATTTGTCTTGGCAACACATGAAAAAAAAGTTTGTTGCAATGACGAAATAAATAGTGTGTGTGAAAATCAAAACAAAAAAAACCGGTAACAGTAGCAACCAAGAATATAGGAATTATTCTGTAAAAAAAATGAATAAACTAAACTAAACCGAATAATGATGATGATTGTTTAATGATGATCAATGTCGATTCTTTTTTTTTTGTAACTCGATTTTGTTGATCATCGACAAAATTTTATCATTTTGTTTCGTTTTTTAACTATGTTTTCCATTGGCAATGTATCGATGCAGATACCATTATTATTGAATAGAAATGTTTTATCATTTCTTCTTAGTATTGGTCTTATATTCCATCAACAACAACAACAAAGAATTGATGCAAGAATTATCGAAGGTGTAATTCGAACCAATGAGGTCAGTGTGGTTCAATGTTTTTAATGGATTTTAGAATTGTTGAAATTTTTTTTTTTTGATTTGGTTTCAACCAATAATCCTCATAGGATTGGATGTTTATAGCACGTTTTTGTTTTCTCTCAAAAGAAGGTGTTTTCGAATATAATGTCACTTATCCAAAAGTAAATGAAAAAATTGAATTTGAAATTGAAATTCTTAAAAATTCTTTTCATTCTAATCTTGAAATATCATGTACAGAGTTTTGCACCACAAAATCTGCTATTATATTTTGATGCCAAATCACAATGGCCAGCTGTTTATAAACAGAATAAGGTTTGTCTATTTGTCTTGTATTGAAAAAAATTTTTTTATCATTTATTCAATCTATAAACACCATATTATAGACATGTGAACAAAAACAAGCCGTTTTAATCGATGATTTTAATCAAGTGATCAATCTAACAGAATATCGTCGTGAATATAAAGCAACAACAGCTTCAGGCTGTAGAGTGGATCGATATAATAATGAAATGAATGAAACATGGTATCGTTGCGTGCAGAAAAGGTATGTGGTGGTTGATACATTTTTTCCCTCTGTTTTCGTTGATCCAAATCAATGAAAATTTTTTTTTCTTTTATTTATTTAATTGAATAAATATTAATTCAATAATTAACCGATTAATCGATCGATCGGATCGAAAAAAAAACACTAAAATGAAAAGAACATTTCAATCATATCGTGAACGATGGTGGTATATTGCATTGGATAATTGTGGCTCACGTAAAGGGCTTTATCTAAAATATCGTATTACAATGACCAATAGCCAATCGAATCAATGGTTAAGACATTTTTCAGCTGACGAATTTTGTAAATAAAAAAAAAAATGAAAAAAACGAATTGATCTCGTTGTCTATATATACTAATCGATGTTTGTTCATTTCATTACAGATATATTACATACAGATGTGATCATGTGTACACTATTCTATCTACTATTGTTTGCAACTTGTTTCGAAGCATGTAAGCATTTTTTCTGGTGTTCTGGATCCTGGTTCCAATCAATAGATAGGGTTGATCGATGATTGTTATTAATTTGTTGTTGTTGTTGTTGTTGTTTGTTTTGTTTTCATTTTTTTTTCTTTCACTATATATCAATTTAGATGCTTTGTATACTAGACATTTATTCCATAAAACATATAAACTATACATTGCTTCATTATTATCAGGTAATAATAATAACCGTATGAATGAAAAACAAAGAATCGGATTAATTCAAACATTTTCGATGTATGGAAAAAAAACAGAATGTCTTGGATTATTATTTCTTTGCATTTATTATGGCCAATTCGCTCAACAAGGACTGGCTAGCCAGACATTGAAACTGATTGGAAAAGCATTCGAAGCAGCCAGTACATTAATATTTCTTCTGTTATTATTATTAATATCAAAAGGATATACAATAACAAGAGCCAGATTGAAACCACGAACAGTGGCTAAATTTAGTATGTTTATGGTCATGTCATCCATTGCATATGCAATAATTTTCTATCATGAACAATATGTATGTATGTTATAATATTTTGTAAACGATTCAAATTTCAACTAATAATATATCGGATTTTTCTTTTTTTTTCTGTTCTCATCCTACAAACAAACAAACTCGCACACACACACCCAGTTGTTTGACCCAGGAGAAGTACTGTACATGTATGAAAGTTCATTTGGTTACCTATTGATATCATTACGATTATTAGCATGGTCATGGTTTTCTTATGCAATAGTTTTTACATTAATACATTATCCACAAAAATCGGCATTTTTTGCCAAACTATTTCTTGTTTATAGTATATGGTAAGTGATGAAAAAAGAAGGATTTTTTTCTTATTATTTTTCAATCATCCCAAACAAATAAACAAACAAAAAAAGGTTCATTTCGGCACCAATAATAATTCTGGTGGCAACATTTGTAATACCAAAATGGATGCGAGAAAAAATTATCAATGCCGTTGAATTGATTATTGCATTCAAAGCTCATTTGATATTTTTCGTGAGTAGAGCAAAAAAAAAAAAAAATCTGATCAGATCAGATCAATTTTTACAAGTTTTGAAGATTTTTTTTTTTGGTTTGATTTAACAAAAATTTTTTTTTTTCATCATCATTAATAATGAATAGTACTTAACTCGTCCTTCTCGTGCTAACAAAAACTTTCCATTCCATGTACGTACGACACAAATATCAATTATGGAAAAAACTGGCAATATTGAAAGCGGTACATTGGAACATTTTAATAATTATAAATATGCACCAACTCGATCGACACCGATCGATGTATTTGCCATTACTTCGGCAGCATTCGCTGGTCTAACCGGAGCCGGGGGAGGAGGTAGTGGCGGTGGTGTTGGTGGTGGAAATTATACGAATAATAATCATAATATTGCCAAAGGAATGAACAGTCAACGTATGATTAATTCGGCTGAATCCGAAATAACTTCAGTGGCAAGTTTATCGAATCAAAGTGGCCATACTTCACAAGAAACGTTTGCCATTAATGGTGGTCCTGATTGGATGCCCAGAGCTGAAGCATAAGCGAAAAAAAAATAGAGAAATTCCTCGAAAAAAAATGACTAAAATTTAAAAAATTATTTATTCAAAAAATTTCTTAGTTCACGTGCCGCCATCTAACAATGAAAATTGTTAGCCAAACAGCAGCTGATTTATTATATTCGTAAATTTTTTTACAATAATAATCACACATAACAATCTCTTTTTAATAATTGATAATGATAATGATGATCATCATGGATAGAAAAGATTAAATTTATTCAACCGAATAAAATGTATTTAATTTTCTGCACATATTCGATCAATGTGAATGAATGAAGTTGAATCTAAATGACTAGAAAACCTAGAATCGCAATAATTGGAGCTGGAATTGCCGGAATCTATGCCGCTCGTACACTTCATCATAATGGTTTTGATGATATTATCATTTTTGAAGCTTCCAATCGAATCGGAGGAAGAATATGGTCCATGAAGCATGGTAAATAATGGTTTTGGTTTTGTTTTTCTCTTAATAATCAAATTTTTCTTTCTTATTTTTAAGGCGATGATTATGTTGAACTGGGAGCACAATGGATTCATGGTCAAGATGATAATATTTTATACGAATATGCTTCATCACGTGATTTAATCTCTGATCCAGAACATGATTATGGTATTGAAGGCAATGGCTATTATTGTAATGAAAATGGTGAAACAATCGAATGTCCATTGGCAAAAAAATTGATAAACTATCTTGATGAAACGAAAAATCGAATGAATAATGATGCCATTGAAAATGATCGAAATGTTTTCGATTATTTTGTTCATCAATTCAATCAATTCGTTCGATCATCATTAAACGGCGATCATGACGTTATATTAGATGAAAGAACAATTGAAATTTTAAAGCAAACATTTCGTTGGTTTATCATTTATGAGGTAATCGATAATTCATGTGAAAATCTTCAAACATTATCCACCCTATCCTATACTGAATGGGAAGATTGTAAAGGTGTGGCCGATTTGATCCATTTTCAACGGAATTATAGTTCCATTTTCGAGGAATTGGAAAAAGATTTTCCCATTGAAAAATATTTATGGCTTCAAACTCAAGTGAAAAAAATTGAATTGATCAATAATGATTCCGGTACACAACAAGTAAAATTGCATTATGTTTTGTGATGAAAACAAAGAAATGTTGTTCGATCACATCATAATAACATCGTCGATTGGATTTTTAAAAGAAAATTTGAAAACAGATTTTTTTAGTTTTCATTTTCCCGAAGAAAAACGTCAAATAATCCAAGCAATTGGATTCGGTACAATCAACAAAGTATTCCTAGAATTCGACATACCTTTCTGGAATGATCAGGTCAAGGGTTTTCAAATTGTTTGGACAAATGTTCATGATGATCATTCTTTTCCTGATATACGAAATAATAATCATGTCAATTTTTGTGAAATGGAAAAAAATTTTCCCGAATGGGTATATTGTATTCAAGGTTTTGATTTGGTACGTAATCAGCCAAAAATGTTGATGGCTTGGATTGGTTCTTATGGTGCAAAACAAATGGAACAATATTCCAATGAAGAAATTGGCAAAATTTTGACTAAAGTTTTACAACAAATAGTACCAAAACAATGTCGAACAATATCAATCGATTATCCAACAAACATCTTTTGTAGCCGCTGGTATAGTGATCCATTTATACGTGGTTCATATAGTAATCGTACGATAATGTATGAAAAGATCAATAATAATGATGATGGATACAATATTGATATACTTGTCAAACCGATATATGACGAGAACGGTAACAAAAAACCATTGATTCTTTTTGCTGGTGAAGCAACTGACCGTAAACATTATTCTACAACACATGGTGCTATGAGATCAGGTGAACGTGAAGCATTTCGATTAATTTCTTTTTTTTTATAATCATCATCATCATCATGATGAAAGATGATATAATTTTCTTATTTATCGTTATTGTTTATTATTATTATTTTTTTTTGCATTGGATTGATACAAATAAATTTTGTTTGTTTGTTTGTTTAGAATTTATAAATGAAATGATAATGATAGATAAGTAAGCTCAATTTTAAGGAGAATAAAGCATCAAAAACTATCAATTGATAATGGGAGCCGTTTCCTTGAGCAACCATTGAAGTGCTCGAACTTGTCCTTGTTTTTCAAGTTCTTTACCAATGATATCACGACACTGTTGATGATAATCATTGATCCATTTGATCTAAACAAAACAAAAAAAACCAGACCAGATTTGTAATCAAAAATCAATTTGTTGTTGAAAAATAATACCTCATCTGTAGTGAGCAAATTAACATCCAAAAGTTTTGTTTGAATTGGCACCAATGTGATGGTTTCGAAACAAAGATAACCACGATCATTGAAATTGTACTATATATTCAAATGATGAACAATTGTTGCATTAAAATTCAATTTAATCACATCAATGGAATTTACCTTGAGATTATCCTTTTTTGTGACGACTAAACTTTCAATACGAATGCCAAATTGATTTGGTTCATAGAAACCGGGTTCATTCGATAGAATCATGTGTTCATCAAGACCAGGATCATCGAGATTAATTCGATTAGCTATACCGATAGGTGGCTCATGAACATTCAAAAACATTCCTACACCATGTCCAGTACCGTGATTATAATCAAGACCAACATCCCATAATGCACGTCTAGCGTATGCATCCAAAAATTGACCTTTGGTTAATCGAGGAAAACGAGCCTGTGCTAATGATATGTGTCCTTTGACCACACGAGTGAAACATTCTTTTTCATAAGCGGATGGCGTACCCAAATGAATCGTACGAGTTACATCGGTAGTTCCATCACGAAATTGTGCACCACAATCAAGTAAAAACATTTCATTCATCGTAATCGGACGATTAGTTTCCTCTGTACTACTATAATGAATAATAGCACTGTTTGGTCCAGATCCGGCAATCGTGTCAAAACTTGGTCCAACATAATCTTTTTGTTTCCTGTTGTTGTTTTCAAAAATTTAATCAGAAAAAGATTAATTTTTCATGGCTAACTAAGGGATTAATTGGATCAAAATTGATCGGGTATTTGTTCTGTTTTTTTTTATTTTTGTTTTCATTTACCTTCTCAATTCTTCTAGTTTAACGTCAACATTTAATTCATCAACAACCACTGTTGCTGTGGAAAGCTGACAAGTTGATGATGATGATGACGATGATGACGACGACGTTGATGTTTGAGAGTTGGGCGACAATGGGGCAATAGCAATATCATTGCCACTGTTGTTTTTCGAATCAGCCAATGTTGATGTTTTTTTGTCATTATTATTACCACCATTGTTGTTGTTGTTTATAACTTCATCTTCGATCCAAGCAAAAAGTTCACAAAGTGCTACAGCATCTTTGATCTAAATTGAAAACAGTAATTGTAAACAACAAAATTGAAACAAACGTTATTTCGCAAAAAAAAAATTAAATAAAAATCTCATAACACATCTGAATATCCAATTTGATTATAATCAGGGAAAGAAAATATTATCTTATTTTTTTCCTATGTATAAAAAAACAAACGAAACGAAACGAAACGAAACGAAAATCAAATGTTTCTCATCTAGATGACCTATGTCCACCACCACCACCACCACCACACCGAAAAAAAAAAATTCAATACATTTTCGAAAAAAAACCAGTCAGTCACAGTTAAAAAATGGACATTAAAATAAAGTTTGAATTTTTTTTTCGTTTCGTTTCGTTTCATGCTTATCAAAATTAGACCAATCGAATTCAATCATAATTATCATCATCATTTTTAAAGGTAAAGTGAATGAATGAATAAATGAAAAACGGAAGATTATCATCTCCATCCATCCATCCATTGAAAACAACCACCACCACCACGCATATAAAAGTTATCATCATCATCATCATCATCATATGACTTGGCCTTAATTTTAATGTTTAAAAGGAAAATAGGGGAAAAAATCATAATAATCAAGACATACACAGGAGTATTTTTTTTTATATTTGCACGCGCGAGTAATAACAAAACAAACTAGATAGATAGATAGATAGATGAATGGATAGGTAATATGAATGTAACATCATCATGTGTATATATGATTCCCATAAACTTCATCATCGAATTTGAATCAATGTTTTTTTTTCTTCAAACTTTTTTTCTCGTACGAATTATAATAATAATAATCAATAACGAAATACATGTATATATACAGTTTATACAAATTTTGAAGATTAATTTTTTTTTTTTTTTTTTTGCTTTCCTACTTCATTTTTTTTTACTTCCATCTATCTACATACACACACACACATACGCACACACACTTTTCATCATTATCATCAATATCATTTTTTTTTACCACTAAGAGATGTATTTACAAAAAAAAAAAAACGGTTAGAAGTGTGTGATATGTGACCAATCGTTTTTTTTTGCCATCGTTTATTTCAAAGTATTATGTCTGGCTACTGTGTGTGTGTGTGTATGCATGTATGCATGTCTGGCATTCATTCATTTGATTCACATTCAATAAATAAAAGAGATATGATGATCACATTGAAATTTATATGGAAGAAAGAAAAAAATTTTGAAAAAAAAAAAGAAAAGATAAAAATCATTGAAATGAATCGAAATGAAGGGCATTACATAGACACAGACACAAATGTGTATATATGAAAGAATAGAATTTCAATGGAATGTATCAATTTGTTTTTTTTTACTTTTAATCATGTAACCACATGTTAATGAAAATAAAAAATGAAACAAAAATATATCACACACATACATTTATCAAATGTGGTGATTTTTTTTAACACTTTTCTTTCTGTTTGTTTGGTGTGTGTGTGTGTGGGGGTACAGACAAGTTAAATTGTAACACATACACAACATGCATACACAGATATAGATCAATTAAACTTGATTGATAAAATTTTGGAAAAAAAAATTGTAAATTCCAAAATACCTGTGATATATAAATCAATATAAATTAAATATTTCAACAAAATTGATGCGAATAAATGCAATGGGGTAAATCCTGATTATTATCATCATCATCATCATCATCATTATTTTTTAGTGAGCAAATAATTAACTGTTTTATTTTGATTTTATCAGTTTCACATTCATTGGAGAATAAGAATGGTGGTAATATTTGTAAATGTAAAAAGGAGAAAAAAAAATACAAACGCGTATATGTCATGTGAACCACTTTTTGTTTCCTTTTCTTCTCATTCGACAATAATGTTATTTACAATTTTACGTACATACACGAAAAAAAATTGCACATAGACTCTGATGATAAAAATGATGAAAAAAAAGACCATCTTAGATGAAGGCATCATCAGAGATCATCAGCAAAGCTACATTATTGTGGAACGGAGTTTTTTTTTCATTTCCAAGTTGCCGATATCATCACCCAATCTATCTATCTACGATCTATCTCCATACACACACACACACACACACACACACATTAATTTTAAATATTTTTAATAATCTTCAACCACAACAGCCAACCAAAACGAAACTGCACTGATCCGCTAAATGAAAATGCAAATTAAAAAAAAAAAAATTTAAATTGGGTTAAAAACAAGCGAAAATCTTCAACGATCCTCTTTTGTGAATTATAATTTTATATCAAAGAAAAAAAAATTGAAAATCAAGAAAGAGGCGAGAAAAAAAATTAAATAAGAAGCCACAACAAACAAACAACACACACAAGAAATTGAAGATGATGATGATTAAAAACGAAATATCGAGACTTTTTGATTTAGACAGTTGTCCAATTTTTTTTTTTTTTTTTTTTGATATGTATTATGCTAAATAAAGAGGATTCACATTTTGAATTTAAATTTTTTCTTTTTTACATTTGAAAAATGTTAAAAAATGACCAACTACTAAACTAAAAGATAACAAATCAAGATAACAAAAAATTTTTCAAATGAAAAAAACAACATTTCTACCTCTATTTATACAGTATGTGCTGTGCTATGCTGTGTGTTTGAGTGAATTTCATGAATTTAGACAACCATAACATCATATTCATCACCATCACCATATTACATGTGCATACATAAATTTCAAAAAATCATATACAAATCGCATACACACACACAAAAACAGCACAAGCCCCATCATCATCATAAACATTTTTCATCATCATCATCATCATCATAATCATCTTCATCTTTCGCTAATATGTGACAAATATTTATGTGATGATGCAATAGTACTGGACAGGACACAGTATATATATATATATGATCTAAAATCTATATTTATATATTTCACATATATATAGAGATTATCAAGATTATTATAACCACACACATTTTATGCATACATATAGTGGCCACTGGTCAGTCTAATTAGTTAGAATATTAAAAAAAAATCTAATACGACATATAACCCGAAATAAAAAATCAAATATATTACCAGTGTGTAACTGAACTGGTCAGATTGTAACTAAAATGATCATATATTGATGATTAAGGTCAAGATCCTTATAAAAAATTTGGAAATTAAAAAAAATCAAATCTGCACAATGTATGGCGACAAAATGCAAAACACAACAAAAGACAAACAAACAAAAAAAAACAATACTTACATGAGCACGACGCATTCCATCCAATTCAATTTGATTCTTAATTGCTTTCAAACAACAAACGGGACTAACGCCAGTCAAAATCCTTCGAGATTCCGGTATCAAATTGACTAGTGCGTAGCTCGACTTATTGCTAATCTGTAGGTGGTGGTAAATAGGAACCAAAAAAAAATGGTGTGTGTGTGTGAGGGAGAGAAACAAATAAAAAAAAAGAAAATTAAAAATTTCGATCATCATCAATTTCATTGTTTTTTGCGCTACCACCAATGATGAGTTTTCAGCACACACACACACACACACAATCATCATCATTGTGTGTTTGTGTGTGGTTCGATAATAAAAAAATAATTATTCACATTTCCAATAATGATGATTGAGAGTAAATTGGAAAATTGAAAAAAAAAAAAAAATTTATCCATGGCGTGTGTTTCTAAAATGTGTGTGTGTATGTGTGTGGCCTTTTTTGCAAACTTTATTTCTTCTAATTAATAATCTAAATTTACAAATTAAACGGACACATATATAATAAATGAAAATGGAAAGAATTGAGAGTGTGATTAAACAAACAAAGAGTGTTATTATTTATGGCATCATCATCATCATCATCATTGTTTGATATTGACCATTCTTGATTGATTGAATCAGCCATCGCCATCATCATCATCGTTTTGTATTGGTGATTGGAAAATTGTTTCTCACGATAACGATGATGGTGACGGGTAATCAAAAAACAAAAATAAACGGTCAATCAAAAAACAATGGAATAATTATAAAAAAAATAGCAGCGTGTGTATGCATGCCTTTTTGTTTTTGTTTTTCCTACCATCAAAATTAAATGTTTTTTTGAAAATGATATGAAAACAAATACATACCCAAATTTTATCGCTTGGATTTATGCTGACAAAAGATCGAATAAATTCCGTAATCGATTCATATGGATGTATTTCAATCAAGGACATTGACATTTGATCGGTGATTTCATGTTCTTTGGTTATTATCATCGATTGTGGTGATTGTTGGCCACCATTATTGTTTGTCGATCGAACACTTGGTGATGAACGTGTCGATGATGATGGTGACGATGTTGTTGTTGATTTTGAATCACACATTATGTTCGTGTCTTCATTGATGCCCAAATGTTTCAATGATTGTTCATTCAGTTTGGATTCATCAATAAATAAACTAAATAAGTAGATGGGGGAAAAAAATGATATGGATGATAATAATGAATGAATCAAATAATAAAAATGATTCATCATTCATTCAACAAAACTTACTAAGCACGATTCATCGATACAATTGCATAGGAGAAAAACACTGGATTATAATCAATATCCGATCCACGTAGATTGAATAACCATGCAATATCATCTAATGCTGTCAACACTAATAATGAAGCATCTTTTTTCAACATTTTTTCACGCAATTGAATCAATTTATCATTCCATGATTTGCCGGCAAATTTCATTTCCAATGTTATGACAGGTTCAGATGGCTTTTCTGGACGCCATGTCCAAATTTGGTCAACCAAATTAACTGGCGTCTGTACTAATTGATTGCCACAAAGTAAAAGTTCCTGTTCCAATTTTGTCCATGTATCATAGGATAAAGTGTATGCATCAACGCCAACACGTGAACCTGGTGTCAAAACTTTATTCAACCATTCACCGATAGTGGGCGTATCAGGTTGATATTGTTTCATCAATATCCAATGATGTTTATTCAATTCACGTTCGGCTTGTAGAAAATATCTTCCATCAGTCCATAAAGCTGCTTCATTCAACGTTACAACGGCTGTACCAGCCGATCCAGTAAAATCAGTAAGAAATGCACGTCTTGCATCACATGGTGCAATATATTCAGATCCATGAGAATCCGATGTAGGTACTACTAATGCATGGAATGTTTCAGGAATACTAGTAGTAGTAGTAGTAGTAGTATTAGCCACCTGAATACCTGCAGTGTTACCTGCACGCATTAATGTACGCAACACTTTTAAAATGTTTGTCTTATCTCTAACGGCCATATTTAATGGTTGATCTTGTTGTTGAGGATGTTGTTGATAGAAAGTATTATTATCGAGATCAGAACGGAAATTTGCTCCTTTTTTTGGTTAAGGAAAGGGAAATTGGAAAAAAATTTTGATATTTATTAGATTTTTGATTCAAAATGAAAAAAAAAAACAAAATGTCTGAAATCATCATCATAAAACAATAGAGTAAGGTTTTCAAATTCATGTTCTCTCTCTCTCTCTGTCACTCACTACCTCTTATAGTTGAGTACAGAATCTCCTACCTAATGAAACGAAAGGCGAATGATCTATAGATAAATCATTGATTCGACATTTATCAATCATCAATGATCTATCAGATTGATTATCATTGTTATTATTATTATTGGATGCAGCTACAACAGCGGCCGCTGTTGCTGTTGCCATTGTTAGATCAAAATTTTTCAATAAATTTTGATTATATAATGTCTGTGCTAATGCGGCTGCCATCTGTGGATTGGTAGCAGCCGTGGCGGATAAAAATTTAAATGTTTCATTCAATAACGATGGAAATGCAGCGGCTGCAAATGCTGCTGCATGTGCCTCTTGAAATACATCTTGTAATTGTATGGCAAGATTATTATCGGCTTGACAATTGCTTGCCACCGCCGCCGCCGCTATATTAGTCGTATCGTTTGCTGTTGAATGTTGTTGTTGTGTATTCATCATCATCGAGAATGATGATGTACTTGATGGTCGACTTGTTGGCGAATCGCTTTTCATATTGACCATGGCTGATGATGGTGAATGAGTATTCGATGGTGATGAATTCGGTATTGTTCGATTAAATGTTTCAAATGGATTATTTTTAGATTGCTGCTGCTGCTGTTGTTGTTGTTGTTGACTGGATGAAGAAGCGTATTTATTTCTTAATAATTTACTATATTGATGATGATATGGCGATTTATTAATTAATTGATTATGATGATGAAGCGGATGATGAGATGATGGATTCGGTGGTGAAGAATTGGCTTTCATTTTAAATGATGATGATTCTAATACATTTCGTTGTTGATTAATTAGATTAAAATGATTATTCAATGATGAATATAATGTATTGTCAACATTATTATTCGTATTCGTATTTGTTGAGGAAAGATTCATGGCTTGGCTAAATAATTGATCATTGGCAGATTGATGAAATAATGGAGTATTATTATTATTAGATGGCAGCAATGAATGACTGGAATTATTATTATTGTTGTTGTTGTTGGTATTTGAATAATTACTTGAGGCAAGATTCTGCAGAAATGATAATGCAGATGAAAAATTCTGTTGATGATGATGATTGTTGTTGCTGTTGTTGTTGGCCATGGAAGCAAATTCTAATGGCGATGATGATGATGGTGAATGTTGATGATGATGATGATGAGTAGAAGAAAGTGGAGGTATTCGAGGTGATTGAGAAGAACAAGAAGTAATACTTAATGAATTGGAAATCTGACTGGATTTATTATTATTTTGATTATTACTACCATGGTTATTATTGGAACCATGTAAAAATGATGAATATGCGGCAGCCATTGCTGTTGTTGATGATGTATCCGATGCTGTTTGATTTGAATAACGTGATGATGATGATACATTTGAACTTAAATGATGATGATGATGATGATGATGTGCATTACCGCCACCACCATTACGTAACATTAACGATGCTTCCGGTGGATGATTATGTTTATTATTGGATTTTTTTACCCGATTATTTACAGTAACAGCACGTCCAGGACATTGTCGATCACGTGAACAACGCCAATAAACGGTACCATCTTTACCATCACGTACTTTATTATAACGATGGCCTTCAAATAATAATGCTACACCACCACGTTGTGTAGCGACATAGGAACAAGCGGAGCTAGGTTCCATCAGATTATTGAATCTCATTGGAATTTGGATTCGATATCCACAATAACAATAACAATAACAATTAATTATCGATTTGTGTTTATTGATTTTTATCGTTGTTATTTCGGCATTTGATGATTCGATATAAATTCTTCAATAATTGATTCATCGAAAGAATGCATGATGATGATTTCAACTGGAATCAAATTCCGCACACACAAACACACGTGCAAAGTAAGAAAAAATCTTCAAGAAGAATGATGACTTTGCATTTGCATGAAAAAAAACTTGTTGCAAAATGAATGGCCGCAACAAACAAAATTAAAATTAGACGAACGAGAATTTGTTTACATCATATCTATACGATTCTGGTTTGCGGGTTGTCAAGTTCAAGATTTCATTTTTTTCGCATATACACACACACACACACACACACAGACACAAGCTCGAATCACATGCATGTAAATATATGGATGATGCACCGTGAAAGACAAAGATTGATAAAAAAATATTCAACTGGAAATAAAATTGCGCTTAATTTTCCGTTCATTCACATCTTTGCACAAAAAAAAAACATCGGTTGTTGGTGTTTGGTGTTGTTGAACACCTATTCTATTCTATGTGTGTGTGTGTGTGTGTGTGGTAGACGATGATGATGATGATGAAGAATCTTTTTTTTTTCTTTTACTTCTTCGTCTTCTTATTCTTAATGTCGGAATCAACGATTCACATTTTCAACTGGTTGTGTGCGTACATACAATGGTTTATAATTCATTATTATTCTGCGTAATAATAATAAAAATTCGTAGATTGTTTGTTTGTTTTTTTGGCTTCAATTTTCAACAATCTTCAATGCGCATGTAAAGAATTTGTTGTCATATAAGAAATGTGTAAAGAATATTCATCACAGCACCACCACCACCATCATCATCATCATCATCATATTATAAAAAGGATTGATAATGAAAACAAAAACCAAACTACTACTGTGTTGTTGAATTATGATGATGATGATGCAATATATCAAAATGAATCAATTCAACAAGGTATTTTTGATTGAAGAATTTCCAATTTTAACATTAAAAATGGTGATAATGGATTACAGAATCACGAAACAAAAAATTTTTTTTTTCTAATTTATAGTGGCAAAATTAAAGTGAAAAAACACGTGCAAAATAGAAAAAAAAGTTGCCGCTCGATTGATTATCCAACAACAACAACAACATTTACAATCAAAGAGAATAATGTTGATGTTTTTTTTTATATAAAAGTTAAGTATATTTGAAAAAAACCAAACAATTATTGATTTTCAATTGGAACACACACACAAATAATAAATAGATGTAGATAAGATAGATGAAAACATGGGCAAAATAGAAAAACACACACACACACACACACACATGACCAACAACGAATGCAATTGGAAAATTAAATTCAGTAAAAAAAAAGAAAGAAAATCACCGACAAAACATTAAGCAAGAAGCGAAAAAAAATGTTGGCGCGCTTCGAAATACAAAATGATGATGATGAAGTAAAGTAAAAAAAAAATAGCAATGACAAACACACAAATAGCAAAAAAAAAAAAAAAAATTTCCAATGTCCACCATATACGCGCGCAATTGGAGTTGTGTGTGTGTATGTAAAATGAAAGAATGTGAATACACAACCTCAAGTGATAAAAGAGAATTTTATTTTTTTCATCAAAGATGAAGATGGACAGGATAGGGATAGTTTTTTTCTCTCTCTCTCTCTTTTTTTTTATGTGTGTGTGTGTGTGTGATTCATTCTAATTCAATCTTTATTCGATTCACAGGTGTCTCCAATTCGATTGAAAATAGTAGTGGTGGTACTGATGTTGTGATGATTGTGGCCAACTAGTAAAAAAATGTCTCTGCTGTGTGTGTGTGTGTGTGTGTGTGTGTGTGTGTGTCAGCCATACATTGGAATGAAAAAGCATCAGTTACAAGAAAAGAAAAAAAATAATTTTTTATTTTATTTATTTTTAAAACAATTTTTTTTTCAGTTTCTTCTGTTGCTTTCAATTTTGTGGCCGACAAAATTGTGATTTCATTTTGATTCGTGTATGAAGGTGTTGAGCGCTTCTTCTTCATCTTTACGATACCTCTCTCTCTCTCTCTCTCTCTTTAGCTCAATATGTGTGTGTGTGTGTGTGCGTTCTTGTGATCTTGTACTGATTCACTATATATTTCATTAGTTTATTTATTGAAAAAAAATATGAAAAAAACTCTAAAAATGTAATAAGTCTTGAAATGTCAAAGTAAAAAAAAAATTTTTTTGCCTAAAAAATGATTTGATTATTCAACCAGTTAGTTAATTAGAAATTCATAATATTCAATTATTCAAAATTTGATCAAAAAAAAAAAACAGAAACAGAAACATCTCCATTTCCTCAATGGATTGATGCAGCGTGCAAAATAAAAATTTTAAATAAAAAATGAAAAACAAGAATCTTTTAAATTATTGTTGCAAAAAAAAAAAAAAAATTTCATCATCATCATCATCCAATTCATAACCTGAAGGTACATCATATCATCGATATATGCACGCGTTTTATCGTTGCAAATTGAAATATAGATTTCAATTTAATTCAAAAAAAAAAAATTGAAGAAAAATTATCAGTAAAAAACCACAAATCTATATATATACTAAAATAACCCAATCAACAAGAGATATTTTTCTTCTTCTTTTTTTCATTTTAAAAATGTTAATTAGTTGCAAACAAAAAGCAATGCACATCATCATTTTCTCTTAGACTTGAACGTCCACCACAGAATGATGATGTGCATGAAATGAAACACTCAAACACACACACACACACACACTATAACACCAGTGAATGAATGAAAAAAAAAATTCGTTTATCATTTGTTCATATCTCTATCATGATACATGCAAAGCATTTTGACTAACTGATGATGATTTGAAAAAAAACGGGAATAATAATAAGTGGCAAATTTTCATTGAATAATACGACAACACATCCACACACCACCATCATCATCTCAGACGTGGACATATTGAACACATATCTTGTTGTTGAATGGTTTTTTTTCTTCTTCTTCAATCAATCAACCAATCCATTCTCAGAATCTATCTAAATTATCTATTTAATAATAATGATGATAATAATAAAAACCAATGATGATCATCAATTATCCACAATTGGTGGTGGCTTTTTATTCACAACAACACGCACAACCATCATGCATTTATTACCTGCAGACAAACAAACAAACGAAAAAAAAAAAAAAATAACAGAGATATATTTCTCTTCACGTATATAAATATGGCATATATGTGAATATATTGGTCTGCTTATATCTGCTACTACACTACCTGTATTGAATAATCAATCCTTATACCTTTTTCAAATCATCATCATCATCAGTTGAATAAATGAATAAACACGTACACACGCATACACACACACATACAGAATACCACATTTTATATTTATGGCTTATGTAAAGTATTTTTTTTTTTTTAGCACGTGCTCACACAGTGTTTTTAGATTTTTTTTGCTACAAAAACGATAAAAAAATAGATAAATTCACCACCATCATCATCAGCATCCGGTATTCATGTCAAAAAACTTGAAATTTTTAGACATGAATACCATGGATGATTATCATGGCCAATGATTGCCACACAATGATGATGATGGTCAATATCAAATATTTCAACAGATTTGTCATACAATCAAATAGAAACATCGTAGTCGTCAGTGTTTCATCCACTATCGATCAAATCAAAGCCTAATTAGAGTGAAAGTCATGTCATTATCAATTTTTTTTTATTTTTGTTGGTCGGTATTCAATAAAACACAGTTTATCTTTGAAAGAAAAGAAAAAAAAATTGATATTTTTTTTGTTGTTGTTGATGATAAATAGTCAACCATATACAAAGTGTACAAATGAAAAAGTGGTTTATCATTCAAACCACTGTGACAAACAAGTTGTCAATTAATTTTTCTTTCTTTCTTTCTATCTATCTATCTATCTATTTGGGTAAAATTGCTACTTTTTTCACCCTGTGTGTGTGTGTGTCTAATCACCATAAATCGTCATTGAAATGATTTTTTTTTCGATCAAAGGGTTTTTTTTTGAAAAAAATTTACAATACCCTAAAATCGCAACTATAAGACGCATCTTATGCAAAAAAAAAATTGAAAAATAGTCTTATGCATATAATGGTTATTACTATATGGAAGAAAAAATATCTCCGTCTCATAGTCGCGATTTTAGGATACATTTTTTTCCTCTTGAAAATTCAAATTATATGAATTTAGATTCTATCATCTATAGTCAAAAAAAAAAAAATCTAACATAATTCATCAACATCACATAAAAATTAGTGAATCAAATAAATGGCTCAGTTAAGAATTAAAAATTAGTCAAAATGGAAAATAGTGAAAATGACCAAAAAAGGATTAAAATATAAATTGATTGATATAATAGATCATTTGAATAGATAAAAAAAGTAAATATAATGAGAATTTTGAATTTAAATGATGAAAATTTTTTCTTGATTTTTACCTTGATTCCGATATGGATGATGATGATGGGATAAATCTGGCTGGTATTTCTACAAGGATAAAAAACACAGGCCTACAAAATTGATTCGTGAAAAAAAACCAGTTGATTATGTTGAGCAGCAAACAAACGAAATAGTAGACAAACTTGTGCAAACAGCTTATTATATTCGATTGATTGATTGATAGAGGAAAAAAATTAAAATGCGTATCGATTTGATTTCAAGTCGAATGATGACGATGATGATGAAAGAAATCAAAAAATCATCAAATTCTTTTTTTCACTCTCTGTTTTGGCTCGAAAAACACACGCGTTTTTTTTTGACTCTATTCATATAATACGTATCGAAATCGGACAAAAATGATTCGGATTTTCAGGAAAAATTTTTTTTCTTTCGATTTTCGTTTTGTTTTGAAGTAAACCGATTTTTTTCCGATTTGAATTCAATTTTCATTTCAAATTTCCCAAATTTTTTTTCCACATCCTCTTATCATATATAGGTTTATAAAATCTGTCTGAAAATTTAAAATTTTTTTTTATTCCATCGAAATC